ACCCCTTCACTTTTTTTGGTCAGAAATAGGCAGAACCCCCTTCACGTGGAAGGAGACCCTGATTTGATAAGCCCTTTTCATAGATTTACGTGAACAAATCAGTAAATTGAAGTACACAGCAAAAAATTGCAAGTGACCTATCTTTTGCGCCATGTCTCATTCATAGGGAAACAAAATTCAGCCTCGTTGCTTCACATATGAAGGAGTCTATAAGACACAAACCGATTAACACACAAGTGCAGTGTTTGAGTTTTATATATATAGATATACCAGCGCGTCACCTCCGCTTCGCGAAGGTTGCCTTTCTCGTTCTCGGATAATGATGACTTTGAAACTCAGGGCGCGATGCCGAATATCGGAAATGATATAAACAAATGTTTATTCTTAGAGCATCTACATGTGAGATCGGTAATCCTGCCAAGGAACACAACAAGCGAATTTGAACGATTACTGAATTTATTTTTGCTTGATAGTCATCATAAGGATAAAGGTCACCATGTGCTACATTTTCGTGCACAGTTTTTCTCAAGTTTTTAGGTAAAACCTCGCCAAACCCATTATCTACGCGATCACCACTTTTTGGCGCTGTTTCCGTAGAAAAGCAAATTTTTTGGGCACCTCTTGGGCTAGAATTCATGAGGCGCAGATTTACTTGTCAGGCAAATCATGACTTTGCAAAAAGTCGCATTAGCGACCTAGCTTTAGTGCCAAAAGCCACGTGGACCCGTTTGACGCAAAAAATTTCAAGGAAACTCTTACTAAAACGGCCAGTCCTTGTGCTTGGTGGGCCTACATGCTGGTACAGTATGTTATGCAAGATTATACCTCGATGGCCTGGCTGCAGCTCCCTCTATGAATTTCGTGATAGACAGACATACATACACGCACAAAAAGACAGACGTTTAGCGCTCTATAATAAGTCATGATAGATTGCAGAGTTGAGCTACGGGGCTAGAACTTGACACAAGGGGGTAAATGGGCATGCTGATTTCGAGAACAGAGCGGGGATAGGGAATTGACATGTAGAGGTGGGCACAAGGAAAGGAGATACGGAGCAGAGATGTGACCTTTATCATAGTATTTCCACATGGCCGAGAAGAGCCGGGTATGCCATTTGATCACATTTGTGAAGCGATTTCAATTCTGCGTGATGATTTCTTTTTGATGAGGACACATTGGATATACGGTAAGAGGCCAAAATCTCAGAATTTGCTTTGAGTGGTGGGAGTATTTGCTTATTGAACACTTGTTTCTCATCCGCGTGAAGGCGTGCGTCTCGGGCCTCGCGCAGAGTTCACGCATTTCATCGTCGCGATTTATCGCTACAAGACAAATGTTACGAATTCATTGTATGCCTTCTTTTTGTGTGTCGGTTGTGATAGTTAGTCAGATTAGTCGTGTTGGAAAACTATCACGACCGAAATGCAAGAAGATGGGCATGCAATGATATTGTTACAGTTGACTTGTCGCGATCAGTCGCGACGATGAAATCGCGTGAACTCTACCCGAGGCCTTAGTGTGCGGTTACGTAGACCTACTTCACGATGTCTGTCGTGATACCACATAAAGAGTTAACCGTAACAAACGGGTGATCGTTTCCAGAAAAATTGCTTTTTGAGTGAAGCTTCTAATTTCCCGCTTAATGTCATTTAAAGAAGTAAAATAGTATTATGCAGAACGTCATCATTTTCGTAACCAAATGTCAAATCATTCGAATAACAAAATAAGTCGTCTGCAATTTGCCTCTTGCACTCAATTGCCATTTAACCCTTGTTTCAAATGCAAAGATTTGCTCATTTACGAAATATGACGATGTATTAGGTTATCTCATAAGTTTTTCTCGGTTTTTTTGGATGCCCGAAAAAACTACTGTCTAACCATTACGAACCAGTGGCGGACCGAGGGGGGAGGGGGGGCCCCCCCCTCCGAGAATGGGTCGCGAAATTTTTGAAAGTTACTTATATGGGCTATAAAAATGTGCAAGTGACTTGTTTATACTTGTAAATAATCAAAATAATTTTTAAATTTTTTTTAAAATTCAAATTAACCTTGTAAAAAAATTTTTCGGGGGCGTGGCTGACGTCACGCCCCCTCATTCCAGATTATAAGGGTTTGAAACTCGCAAAAATTTTGAGAAGCACCCCAAAAAATTTTTCGGAGTGCGTGGCTCACGCCGCACCTTCACTAGAGATTTTTGTCCCCCCCCCCCCTCTCCCCGATCCGAAGTCCTGCGACCGCCACTGCTACGAACCACTAGGAAACATAAGCTCACATTTAGGTCATAGAATGCATGAATTATACCCTACCAAAGACATCAGAATCCAAAAAGATCTCTATTCAAAAAATATGGGAATCAAAAGAATCAAACTAAAAGCCAGTAAATACTGGATTTTTGTTCCTACAAGCGAAAGGCCAGGCTCTTTTAACCTGCAATATCCAAGAATCCGGCGCAGGAGATACTTACTGATGTTCAATAACGTGTTCTACAGGTCGGCTAGGTGGCTTTCGCACCTCCCGGTTGAGACCACTAGTGCAGCGAGTGGTCATGTTTTCTGGAGTAGACTGAAAAGGCTTGACTTGTCAAGTATCGCTAACACTGATTAGTGCTGCATGACAGGGCGAGCCTTCTGCATTAGACCTTTTGGGCTTCCACTTGGGTGCTTTGGACGTGCTATGATGGCAGATGGAATCGCTTTGGGCTTTGTTTTTATTAGCTTTCTTCTCCATTTTACCTCTAAAACCTGTCTTTTCAGGTGCTCGTTGATCTTGCATTGACTTGCGGGCTCAGTTATGGCTACTCAATTATGGTTTTGATTTTTTTCTTTCTTTTTCGGTGCTCTTCATTCTACTTGATAATCATTCTGTCTTTCTGTTTGTTTTAGTTTCTTACTAACACGCTTTCATCATCATCTCAGTACATGTTGCTGAATACTCAATGTTTTTTCTTGTTACTAACCTTTTAGTCCTTTCCCTGACTGACCTGTCATACTTCCACCACTTCTTTTTTGTTCCCACTCGGAGAATTCAGTCGCCTTTGACATTCAGCTTTTGCTTGATCTAACTACAGGTGTATCTGAGACTGGTCTGGCTGGTGGATACCTAACGTGAACCAGGCTGGCCTTGGACGCCCTCGAAGTTCAACTTATTCTTAGGGCAGTAGCACTCCCCAATGCTAAGCATCTGTATTCATTCAGAAAGCATGAAATCTTCTTCTTAATTCAAGTGCATCTCTGCGGTCTCTATGACTGAACCTGTGTACTTAGGTTGGAATGTGGAAGTGTGACAGGGACATTTTCTTCGACTACTGAATATATGTTTTCGAATTGTTTTGGCGCACCATGAGTGCATACATAAATAAATAAATAAATAAATAAATAAACTAGCGGTTTTCGAAGAAAGCAAAAATAAATTTTCTATACTTCCCCATTTTGCTCTGCAGCTGAACGAACACAAATTTTTCTAAGCTATTTCAAGCTGTGTTTGTAGGGTATGTACCCTAATTTCACGCGTACAAGGCGCGGGGTGGTCCTAGCTTTCATCGACCAGCCCGAATACGGCAAAGGACTTCGCAACCAAAGGAACCCCATACCGTGCTGCGTTTTGCCTGACGAATCGTGCGGCATAAGGATCGCTTCTTGAAACACGTTAGGGCGGCTGAGCAGCTCGATGAAAGCTAGGACCACCCCGCGCCTTGTACGCGTGAAATTAGGGTACTATCACGTAGCCCTCATTTCATTTGCAAAGATTTGCTCTTTTACGACGTATGACAACATATCAGGTTACTCATAAGTTTTTTTCCCATTTTGTCTTCCTCGTACGATACTTTCTCGCACGATATGGGAACCTTGGATGTCCATTTCAAAAAAAAAATATAAGCTTGTGCCAAAAAAAACTTGCCGGATATCTCACTCGATCACACATAAATACTCCGCAAAGACAATTTATATGCTTTGCTATATTTTTCCCTGCTATTAAGCCCCTAGAGGTACAACCATGGATCTCTAGCTTCCCTGCAATCCTTAGTTTCCGAGAAATGTTGGTTCAAGCGTGGAAAATCCGAGTTAGGAAAGCTAAATTCGATATTACCCGGGAACTAGAGTTTAAAAGCTAAAGCATCACTTTGATAAAATCATGAAAATTTTCGTTTTCTTGATTTCTAGCTAAGAGAAAAATACAGCAATGGTACATCTGTATGATATGGGGTGTTAATTTGATAAGTAGTTTTTGCAGAAATGTTTGAATTATAGCATATTTATTTACCAGAAACGAGTAAGCCTTTTAGAAAAAGGTTTGCATAAACTCTGCTTTATGGTCGGATTCCCAAAAAAGCTGAAAAGTGAAAAATCTTTAATTGATTTGTTAATGCTTAATGTGTCGTTATAGATTCTTGATCTTATCACAGAGTAACTTCTTCGTCGGGGTGCACATAAAAAGCTTCCCAAAGAAAATCTCGGATAGCCTTAACATTGCGGTATCTTAATAACTCTGACATTCCGAAAAGTGAAGGACACAAGAGCTTAAGCCATTCCTCCAGAAATTGAGAACTGTTTTACTTATTTGTATGTAAAAATTGATCTATGCAAGAAATTGATGATTTCTGCAGGATGCTTACAAAATTTGGAACTCATTTTGCAGGGAAGGGGACCCGCTCCTGCGCCGCTTTCTTGTGTCCGTTACCATAGAAAAAATTCTCTAAAAAGCAAATTCCAAATGCTAATTTTATAAAAGTAACTTGAATCTGAAGATGATCAATCGCTAGTTATGTTCTTGTTTTCGAAAGAATAGCAATGAGACCAATATCAAATTCTTTTCGCGACTTTATGATAAATCACACAGCGCCATCGCGACAGTCACGTCACTCTCTTTACACAGCCACGGCGACCAACGCAAAAAGTTCCGAGATCAATCGGCGACAGCGTTTCGCGTGATTTTGTGTATTTTATTCGTATGATCGCGAAGGGCGGCCGAAATTATGCGATAATGGGAGTGGCAATGGAAGAAGTAGAGTGCCACATTTGTTCTTCTGCTTCTGCACAAACCACCTTAAAACGGTCCTAGACGGAAGGAAATGGATACAGGTTGGCTACCCTTGTGGACTTTCTAACTTAAGAATTTACCATCAACTTCTTTCCTAAATAAGCACGTGTCCTTATTGTATGAGGAGAGTTGTCGATGTTGTTTATTTCTTTTTTGATTTTCTAGTATCTACAGCATTCCATACATACTTAAGCTTTCTACAAAAATATTACTCCTGTGTCACGGTCTTGAGATATTCAAAAGCTTTTCACACGATTTTGACGTATATACTTACTCTTTCTCATGCTCCATAAATTCCCTGTATCCGTAATCGCAATTTTTGGTTAACTATGCTTGACAAAAATCGATTTTGGTTTCTGTCTCTGTCGCCACGTCGCTCTTCGGCATCAGCAGAAAACGAAAATAAATTTCACTTCTATGAATGCTGGACTGAATAATCACTTCTGCTCATGAAACGTTGCAATGTAGAATTTCTTACAGTCGCAAAAGCTCCAGAAAAAGTTTTTTCGTCCAAAGGTTATTGAATTCTTGTAATTAACAGGGTGTCCCAAAAAGATGTGGCTACTATTTGATTGTTAATAACTCACTTGTCATGAAGTTTTTGGAGAAGCTTTGGAGACGATTTTGTAGAGCTGGTTTCTAGTTTCACAGTATGGAGCGAATACCGATTGCTCTTCATTACTGTAGAATTACATCACAACAGAGTACAGTAGAATTATAGAACTTTGAAGAGGATTTTTAGCCATGGAGCCATGGAGCCATGCTTTGCCTCAAAAAGGAAAAAGGGCGACCTGAAAACTCCCACATTAGGACAATTAGAGTTCCTGTTTCTAATTATGAATTTTGCATCTCATCAGAGCTTAAAAAGTTGTGTCACAAAAGCATGGCAGCCGTTAGTTCGCTGCTCCTAAAAAATGTGTTTACACCGTTTTAAAAGCTTCACAGTCTTGTACAAAGTTGGGGACTAAACTCAGCGTCCATAAAAACCCTAACACATAAGTTGTCAGATTTCGTCTTGATATTATTTGAAACGGCAGTCACAGCGACGCCATATACTACCGTAATCCTACAGTAATGAAGAGCGATTGGCAATTTGCTTTATACTGTAAATCCAAATCAAAGCCAGCTCTACAAAATAGTATCTAAAGATTCTCGAAAGACTTCGTGATAAGAAAGTTATTAACAAATAAACAGTAGGCATATTTTTTAGGTCAACCTGCAGAAGTTCTTCGATAATTAATAAGCAAATCAGTCGCACTCATATATGGCATATGTAACCATTTCCAAAAATACTGCGGCCCATGCCTTCTAGTAAACTTTTGAGAAATAAAGATAGTGTTTTTTCTTCAACGCTCAAACTATCATCTATTCTGTGACTAGGAGACGCGAGAACGCAATGCGGACATTCTCTGAACAGGTCTGAGTTTGTTCCTTCCTGTTTTCAAAGAGTGAATGAATCTGGACATGATATATAACATGTATAAACCTGCTAAGTACACGATTAGGCTTGTTCAGACAATGTGTGCAATGCGATCTCGCGTCTCCTAGTCCTAGAATGAATGATACTGGGTGTAGGACGATTCGCACGACCGTAATGTTTTCCAGACAGGACCACCGCCGCGCGCGACACACCCTGCGGCGGCTTTTGCCTAAGCAAAACAGGGGGAGGAAAGATTTGCGGCGTGCATTACATGTTAAGACAGGTCAAAATCAGGGAGACTCTGGAGACCTCCCGTGCGAAAAGACCGTCTCCCATGATACTCCAATGAGCATTTCTTTTACACATGATGATTTCCTTAAAATCCAACTATTTGAGTACTCATCTCTTTTTTCGAACATAACTAGTAATACTGCCAGAAAGATAGTCGAAAAGAGCAGTACTATTATAAAATTAACAAAAATTTGCAACATCAAGTTTTTATGATGCAGTGGAGAATTTCTCATAGATAATGCTACAAACTAAGCACGTAGAAGGAACTTGTGACTGCGCAAAAAGTCAGAAAACAGTCAAAACATGATTTACGTATTCGACAAATCATAACAATAATTGTTACATTATTTGCTTTCGTCGGCCCTCAACCGGTCGCAGGCATGCAAGCACCAGTTATATAGTACTTTATATTTTTCTCTATGATGTAGATCATATACGAAGAAGTTTTTCAAGATATAAATTCTTTTTAGGTAATGAATTTATGCTCAAAGCTATTGACGAGGCTTGTAATGGAGTGAAGATTGGCGATGGGGGACCATTTGGTGCAGTGATAATAAAGGACGGAAAAATAGTTGCGACAGGACACAACATGGTAGGTGTCTTAAAACTACTAAATTTATTCTTCTTTATTCTCAAAAGTGCTCCAAATAGCACAAAACAGTCTGGTGAATAGTACTGAGTAGGTGTACACCTGAATTATAGCACTTAAGTACAAAAACTATTAACATAGCTCGGCACAGGTGGCTTGTAAGCAAGGTGAATATCGTTCTTGAGACAAAAAGCAAAGGGGATATCGTTTTTGAGGCCAAAAAGACACAAAAATTGCACAGTTTTTTAGTCGACGTTTCCTTTTTTTATGGTTTTTTATGTTTAGGGTTTAGGATCAGAGGGGACTTAGTAAAAATTCGCGAAGGTCAAGAGGGACTTCGTTTTTTGCATTTTCCAAAAGCACCTCGTGCCGAACCCTGATTATTAGAACCTAGAGATATGCTATTAATGGTCTCACCTGACTGTGATCCTGTATAATCATATTGGGCCAACATTTTTTATTCTTGTTTACATCGAGAACATAATAGGCCTCAAATGCCCTTGAATCCTCTTAGCTTTTTGCAATCACCAGTATTTTTCATGTTATCACGAATTCTATCTATCCTTTCCTCTAAGCGCTAATGTATCTCTCCACTCAGAGAACAAACAAAAGGCCACGAGACCAATCCGCTTTGCAACAATCACAGCAAGCAAAAAAAAATGTCTGATCGGTTTCCGTTCGGTCGAAAGACAAATTTGTCACGTTGGTAATAACAGTTCACATCAATATTTGCGTGACTGTGCAATATGTGCTTTCTGTGCAATTCGGGTCCATTAAAATAAAGAAAACAAGATCCGAATACTATGAACAAATTTTCACAGCAGTACTGGTAACCTTTATTTTAATTGGCTCGGCTTCAAGAAGGCGGGGCTTTGTGACCTAATTAAGGCCGCTCGCGCCCCCGACGCACCTGCATCTCTCTCGCGCAAGTGCTCTCTGATCATTACCTAGCCTTAATTAGGCCACGAAGCCCCGCCTTCCCGAAGCCAAGCCAGTTGAATCAAATGGTACAAGAGTCAATTAATCTTCATCTTTTCCTCAAAGACTGCGATTATATTTATGACATTATCATTTCCTTAATCATTTTAGAGGGGGTTATTAGTATGAGCGATTGAAAATTCATTTTTGCCATCTTTTTCTCGATTTTCGAAGCAATTTTCTTCTCACAAAACAGAATGACACATTAGCACTTCTAAATCTGTTTTCTCCACAGCTAAATACTTTTCGGCAGAAAACTTTCGTTCCACATTTCGAAGTCAAAACGTACCTAGAAGGCTGCTCTCCATTTTCGAGTTCTTATGAAGTCGATATCAAGACTTACATTACTGGCTTCATTTGCAATTAGTACTTTACATTTTTCCTCTTTCTTGGCACTTTTTTTGAAACTTATAACTCTAGATGAGCATCTCGCTAAGCGCAAATTTTCCAATTTTCCGTGCTCTTCAAAAAAAAAAATCCAGAACTAAGCTACTTTCCTTTGGAGACTTTCATCTTTGACTCTGCTTTTGGTAGAAAATCTCTTCCAAATAAGATTAGACAAGCAAATCGGATGAGATAACGAGTTTTTGTAAATGGTAAAATGAACTTTTGTGCAAATCAATATACAATGAGTTCATAAGTTGACAAATTCAATCTAGAGTTTTTTATAGGATTAAAACGATCATTTTGAATTTATGGTATTTCGAAAATACTTTCTTCCTCTATTGACAATTTTTTCGTTGTCTTGGCTGCTCATCTGCAAAAGTTCTAATTTTTCAAATTTTATTTGTCAACGTAATTTATGGGCATATGGTATAGTATAAGGCAAGCTTGGAAATAAACATATGCATTCACTGAAAATCAACTCTGTAAGGTGTTTGAAACACAAATTTCACTAGGAACTTAATGTAATTGAACGTTGATCAAAAGCCCCCTCGATACTCCATTCCCTTTCTATCTTGACAATTTCAGAAATTTTTTGGATTTGTTTTGAATAATTCCAAGCGCTGAACTAATGTTCCTAGTCTAGAGTTATCATTAACACAACAAACATAGCTGATAAACTCACTAGCAATTCAGGTTCTAGTCAGCAACGATCCAACTGCTCATGCTGAGGTGACAACGATTCGGAACGCATGCAAAGCACTCGGTAAGCGTTCCAGCAGTTCGTAAAGTTGCTCATTATCACCTTTGATAAGGAGCTTTGTTTGCGATTGTTCAGTGAGCTTGTTGTTTAGGCAAGTTTGATTTGTCGGGCTGTATAATGTACACATCATGCTATCCGTGTCCTATGTGTATGGGAGCATGTTTATGGGCTCGGCTGGATGCTATCTACTATGGGGCTACTGCAGAACAGGTAATCACCCAAAAAGATGTAGAATTTTCACGAAAAAGGCGCAAATACGTGCAGGAAAGAATTGAAATGAATAACACCAAAAACATATATATGTGGGTTGGCGGAACTATAATAATATTCTTATTGCAATTTCTTGCCATCTTTCCGTAATCTTCCAGTGTTTTTGGGGAAAAAGACAACAAAACTTTACGTCCGGCTCAAATTCAAAATTTGGCTGAGTTTCATATTTTATAACCAAATAGAAAGAACAGCTCTAGTTCGGTCAGGATACGATTTAGGTTTTCATTGAATAGATCGTAAGCAAAGAGCCCAAATATACGACCGTGTCCAGGGGAAATTTGATTGAATATTTCTACATGTTTTCTAATATTTTTTGAATCCGGGAATAATAGTCAGTTCATCATTTTCAAGCGTATAGGTTCATCTATGATATTCCTCTTGTCACGGTGTGATTCTTTTAAAATCATGGGAGTTCTTGGGTATTGCTATTCCTACATATTCGAAGGTTAGAAATTCTGTGAAAGGCAGCATTAAAGGCAGCGTCCAGACAAATCTGGAATGTGGGGTTTGCATGAATTCATGGCGCAACCCATCAGTTTCCCGCCAGGACCCACGGGTTGCGCCATGAGTCCATGCGATACGATCCTGGGGTCCAGTTTCGAGGCGAATATCTCAGCCGTTAGAGCGGTACCTGAGCTGCCGGTTGGGCAGTGGCTTAGTTAGGGTCCCAGAATTATTACCCACGTGAGAACTCCATATGTTCAGATTTGCCTGGACGCTGCCCTTGATTATTTGATGACAAATCGCAGAGGAAATATTACAGCTCGGTGATTGTAATCCTCAAAGGCAGTGGTTTGGAAAAATGCGAGTGCAAGCTTTTCGGACCTACATGGTCTTCTGGATCAATTCAGTTCGGGACTGTGCTTGAAATGTCAGAAAAGTGCTTTTTCGGCTTTTCCGGCCTTCGAGATTGCCAAAGCCTCGGACAGAGTTCACGCGATTTGATCATCGCGATTTAATCGTCGCGATTTTCATTCATTTTCATTTTACATTCAAAAATTTCGAGCTGGAAAAGTATATGCAAGCTGATCGACTTGCAATGAACTCGTAACAGTTGTCTTGTAGCGATTGAATCGCGACGATCAAATCGCTTGAACTCTGTACGAAGCCTGAGGAGCTGGGCGAGCTATTCTCACGAGAAAGACTAGCTGCAGGATACTGTCCATTTTGGCGGCAATTGGCTGATCAGCTCAGGCAGCCAATCGCGACTCAATTGGTGATCGCTCGCCCATCCTCTCCAGCGATCTTTAAGCCCGGAAAACGCCATGAAAAGTACTTCTTCGGATTTTTAAGCACAGCACGCCAGACCCAGCGCATCTAGAAGGCCATGTAAGGATGGAAGGCTCGTAATTGCAATTTTTCCAGACCATGCCTTTGAAACCCACGTATTTTTTCCTGCACTCAATAGCGCTAAAAATGAATCAGCTATGTACGACATGACTTTCAACATCTTAATTTCAGGCAGCTGCAATTGGTTTTGACGATAAAGCCTTCCACGACTTTCTCAAAGATCCAAAAACCGATGAGCATCGGTCAGTTTGGCTGTGAGTACAAAAGGTTATAAGAAATTATTGACTGTTTAGAAAACTGGAACATCTACCTGCAAAAGACTACTTGCGACCATTTGAGATGTGGTCAAATATGGCCAATAAGACCTCCTATTGATTCAATTCAAGATAGCATTAAAATCCGCGATCTTCTGTGATTTACTGAATTCCGTTGTATTGGTTCTATTGCTCAACTGATGTCTCGATTCAATCCACTATTTGAGGCAAAGTATTTAAAACATAAAGGATTCGAAAAACATTGTGTTTCTTTCACGGTTCGAGCCAAATATAATATTCTCTCCTCCCTTCTGAACAAATAGATGATCTGCAATTTTTGTTATTGGTTCCGCAGATGATGCACTCCCTATGTACATAATGCTTCATTTTTCATTTTGAAGGTTTACTTATTCTAACAACGCCATCTCAACATTTCTTTTCATCCGCAATGAACCCAAAAACTACTTTGAGCCAAGGTTTAAAAAACTTTGAGAAAAAAAGCGGAAAAAAGCACCCTTACCCCTACACAAGCTCTAATCCAACTTAAAGACAGTACAACACGTTTCAATCTGATCGAAATGGAACATCAATGGCATCAAGGGCCGATGATTATGATGCAAGCCACCCTATAAAGGGCAGCTCAGACAGTCGATCGGACCCCTCCGGCGCAGAAATGGCAGGGCCGCGGTCCCCAGTGGGGGGGGGTCTGCCACTCGCGCCGGAGCCCCCCAATTTTGTGCACCGGAGCCCCCCGATTTTCTGCGCCGGAGCCCCCCGATTTTGTGCTCCGGAGACCTCCCATTTTGTGCTCAGGAGCCTTCCCATTTTGTGCTCCGGAGACCTCCCATTTGCGCTCCGGAGACCTCCCATTTTGTGCTCCGGACCTCCCATTTTGTGCTCAGGAGCCTTCCCATTTTGTGCTCCGGAGACCTCCCATTTGCGCTCCGGAGACCTCCCATTTTGTGCTCCGGACCTCCCATTTTGTGCTCCGGAGACCTTCCATTTTGTGCTCCGGAGACCTCCCATTTTGTGCTCCGGAGCCCTCCCATTTTGTGCTCCGGAGACCTCCCATTTGTGCTCCGGAGCCCTCCCACTTTGTGCTCCGGAGACCTCCCATTTTGTGCTCCAAAGACCTCCCATTTTGTGCTCCGGAAACCTCCCATTTTGTGCTCCGGAAACCTCCCATTTGTGCTCCGGAGCCCTCCCATTTTGTGCTCCGGAGAACCCCCATTTGTGCTCCGGAGCCCTCCCATTTTCTGTCCCGGACCCCTCCGATTTTCTGCTCCGCGGCTCGTCCAAATATGGCGGAATCGAGGCGGGCAAATTTCTCCGCCGCGGCTCTGCCAAATCTGGCGTACCTCCGGAGTAGAATGGCGTACCTTTGGAGCAGATGCGGAGAAGGGTCCCACTCGCCTGCCGGTGGCGTCACCGTGACCTACAAGAAGGGACCGCCTCCTCGCCCCGCTCTCATTGGTCAATTGGGTCCGCCGCGGTTCTGCCAGATTTCGACTGTCCGGCGCGACTACGGCACCGATTGTCTGAGAGGTCATTCTTCAGGCGATGTCTGTCGTGACATGATTTGGCAATTCGCCAGAAGTCTTCAGATCCAACACTAGCAAACTGCACATGCACTGTGTACAGCTTAGAGGCTGTGCATGACAAAGGTGCAATATTTTTGGGCGCGGACGCTGCTTTCTTAGCTGCAGAGCGCATGAGGCGCAGGATTTACAACGGCGATGATACGCGCACGTCGCGTTCGCGCCCGCTCAACTCATACTGCTTCTGCGCCTTCGTCATGCAGTAGCCTTTATGTGGCTTAAAATACCCTATCTTCTGTACATTGAAAATGTGCTTACAGTGAGTTATGGACAGTTGGTATATTGGCATATTGCCAAATCGCGTCGCGACTGGAATCGTGTGAAGTATGCCTTTTCCTTTACATCTACTATAGGCAAGTAGCAGAATTTTGCAAACCTGTGTAATGGCTGCTGAAGAGTTCTTTTAAAAACCACTCGTCGTGATAAGTTTTCGAATAATTGTACTGTGAAATTTTCAGCGTAAACATGACCTATTGTTTTGGCTCTTATATTTCGCCCTAGAATCTGAGGGAAATGCTCTTACGGAACTGCTCTATTTGACTATGCTAGTATATAGTATCAAATAGCAAAAATATTGTGTATGGTTCAACAGAGGAGAAATTTGGAGGAAATGTATTTTTTCACAAAAAAGTGGATCAAGTTTACTTTGTTTTCCAAGAATTTCTCTTAAAGGCAGTGTCCCGGCAGATTCGGGTCCTGGGGGATATACGTGTGATGGGGTTCCTGGTCACCCCATCGACCTCCAGGCGCACTCCGGCTGGGTGATGTTCCCCCTGGGGCGAGAAAATGGCCCTTGAACCGGCGCGCGCAACCCCAACTGGCGCGCGCTTGGACGACCTTCCCCGCCTGTTCGGCGCGGGACCCCACGAGCGCTCTCCCCCATGATGCATGCTATCCAAAGCAAGAATTACAGGCGGCAGGATCTTCGTCTGGGGACCTCCCCCAACTTTCCATTAAAAATCTCGTCCAAGCTGCTTTTCCGTAATTAGGAAAACGCCCCAAAATCGGCCTTTTCAGCCCGTTCAAAGCTCAAATTCGGATTCTACGTGGCGAAAAGGCCTAAAACATGCAAAAAGGTGGAGGTGCAAAATCTGCCGGGACACTGCCTTTAAGAAATTTGCGAACACCGAGATCGTGTCATCGCTCAGCCAGCCATGAGCTACAAACAAGCAGAGTTTGTGCTATCCTACATTTCAGATTGAGTTAGCTTCCTTAAAGGGGAGTTCAAGAAAAGTGTTTGAAATTTTTGGGCTAAAACTCCCTATCACTGACGCCTCAATAATATTTGAGTGCATCTGATTCTAGTGGATTCGCGGATTATTACATTTTGATATGCCCGCTAAAGTTGTTTCCGAAAGAGTTATGGCAGTTCAAATTCCATTTTAAAAGGTAAACGAAGTTTTTGAGTGTTATTTCAATAACGCTTCAATAATAGTTAAATAATATTACAATCATGACTTATAATAACGGGCTAAGGGTTGTTTACGTGTTTGTGTGTGTGTGTCTGTCTGTCTGTCTGTCCGTTACGAAATTCGTAAAGCGAGTTCCAGCCAACCTCTTGAGCCCAAATTTTGCAAGGCGCATGCTAGCAGCATGAAACTTTGCTGTGCAAAAGCACGGGCGGAGCCGTTGAGTAGATCACTCAAAAATTGCGCTTTGAAAGGATTCATCTGGCTTCTGGCCAGCAAAATTGGGCCTGTACCACCACTTTTTGTGATGTCATGGATATGTTTGACAAACTAATGTGGAAGCCATGGACTTTAGCCCAGAAAACTGAACTAAAGTTGGCAACTTTACAAAAATGGCGCCAAAAATTTAGTTCGTAAATGTTCAATTTGCAAGGATTTTACCTGATCCTTTGAAAAGATTTTTGCACAAGATGTAGCCCACGACCTTTATTGTCCTTATGGCTACAACCAAGCCATAAAAATTCCAAAAACCTATTCAAATTTGCATCTGAGCTTCTGGGAAAAATTTCATTCACGCGAAAATACCGACCTCACACGAAAAATCTCTAGGAAAGAGCAGTTGTTTACAAATCATTCATGATAGCTTGCATAGCGCGGTTTCAGTGTCATTATTTTGTGAGAATGAGTTTAAAAGTACAGTACATAAGTAAGTACATACAGGAAGTAGGGTCAGTGGGAGCCTCTGCGAAGCAGAAATGACGCACTGGTGCTTTAATAAATTCAATATGAACATCTAGAATGATGTGCAACACACCACTATAGTCAAAAAGCTTTCCTCCCCACTTGCTCTTCCAGGATTCTTGCTTTTTGGACAATTTATAAACATACACATACTTTTCAAGACTAAACGAACCTACTTCTCATTATTTGAAAAATAAGTTTCACAGACTTCCTTCCTTACTGAGGAGTTTCGGAGAAGTCTGCAAATACTTTTACATGAATGGAACGGAGCTTTGTAGTTACTTCACATTGGGATTTAAAAACGTTTGTTCTCAATATTATTATTGAGTTGCAAAATTGTTAGACATTTTACTCGTAATCAATTAGATTGGTTTTCTCAAGAATTCTTGAAAAAAATTAATCTATTTATTCAAATCAGCCTTTATAAAATTGTAAGATGGGGGAATCCGGCACTCCTCCTCTTCTATAAATTTCGAGTGGGCCCGCAAAAATTTTGGAGAGCATCCTAAAAAATCTTTGGGAGTGCGGAGCTATCGCACCCTGCCCCCCCCCCCTCCTCCGGAATCGAAATCCTGTGCAGTTAACTTCAGATTGAATGACAACATTTCATTTGGTATAATCCTCAACTTCTGACTGCTTGGATGAGACCACCTTTGTCACCTTTTTCTATTCTCTGCTAGTTTCCAGTTAGATTTCTGTTTCACAGTTCTCGACAACAGCGATCATATGCTTGTTATGCGAACGAGTTTACTGGTAATAGCAAATTCTCAAGTGAGCAGTGCGAAAAGTTGCATACCTGAAACGGACCTGTTTACACACTTCGCGAAATGATACAAACCCGCTGTAAAACTGTCAGATTATCGATAAGAAGCTTTTGCAAAAGTGTAGCCTGTTCTCACGTCGACGTTCTTACTATTGCATCTGTCTTTGGCCCTTTTGTGGTTTTTGCTTCTACACACAACATTACGATTCAATCCGCATCATACCGAAACGTGTGAAATGTATCTTTCCAGAAATGAACACTGAAGCATTAGCAGCCTTCAAACGTTGCTGTGAGGCTGTTTCTCCGTATGCCTGTGTGAAACAGTTATGCCCTTTTCTATTGTTTCCTCCCTCAATCGACAAATTATCCTGATCCTATCAAATTTTAGGCATTACGTCTCACAAATGAGAAACTTACAGTGACGACTTCGTCGTGCAATGCTTCCATAAATGTGAATAGTGGGACTCGCTTTGTACTTACTGCTTTCGGCAAAGCCTCTATAGCGATGACTAGAGCTGCCGAAGAAGTGCTTGGCCCTAGACTTCATGCTGGACTTGTGATAGCCCCGAATGTCGGGGATATTAGGTGAGTTTTTGCTGCTAGCTCGCTTTACGAAGCATTTGAACATGGTAAAACGATTGAGAAGCATACAAAAAATGAAGGTCATCTCTGACATACACTTACAGGGAAAATGTATTCAGTCGAAGCGGCCTTTCCAGATGAATACTCTACCATTCCATAGAGCTTAGAAAACTGATTAGAAACCTGCTTTAAATATTTACAGTGTCTCGAAAGCCGAGTTATGAGCGTTTCTCGGGCAGAATTATAACTGCACAACTGCAAAATGACCCAGAATTGCTTAAATGGTCAAGTGTTTGAGATAAAAGTACCTTAGGTTAAATACTGTATGATTTACCATACTCAATCCGCTCTGTTTGAACGCCGAAGCGATCGTAAATCAATTTCACCTGACTGCGTGCATTTTTGCTCCAAGAAACACAACTGAGTGTGCAAGGGATTCTGCAGATGATGAAAATAAATCAAAAACCAGCGTTCAGATTTTTCACATAGGTATAGATTTCATTTGAAAAGGTCACTTCCACCAGGGCTCGGCACGAGGTGGCTAGATGAAAATGCAAAATAAAGTCCCCCTTGATTTTTGCGCATTTTTACGAAGTCCCCTTTGACCCTCCACCATAATCAGGGCTCGGCACGAGGTGGCTTACAAGCGAGCTGCATATCGTTTTTGGGACGAAAAGCAAAGGGGGTTTCGTTTTTGTGACCGAAGAGACAAGCAAAATTGGCAATTTGGCGACGTTTTTTTTAGTCGACGTTTCGTTTTTTGATAGATTTTGGGAATTTTTATAGGTTTTTAGAGGAAATGTGGTTGAAGGTCAAAGGGAACTTCGTAAAAATTCCCAAAAGTCAAGGGGGACTTCGTTTTTTGCATTTTCATCCAGCCACCTCGTGCCAAGCCCTGACCATAATCCCTAAAAAATCTCCAAAAAAGAAACCCCCTTTGCTTCTTGTCCAAAAAACGATATCCAGCTTGCTTACAAGCCACCTGTGCCGAGCCCTGACTCCGACTACAGAACAGTTTTTTGAGAAATGGTGCTGCCTAACTCACATTTTTTTCATGTTCCCTTCGGTCGATGTGCTTTCAAAGGACCGTCCACCCAAAATGGAGGTTGGCGAGACTATGATGGCATACTAGTATGGGCCCCCTCGCTAGGCAAACCCCCAAGCTTCGCCGCAAAAGACTGCTTCTGGAGCGGAAAATCCGCTCCGGAATTAGCAAAGTAGGCGGGGCGATTATGGTCGCTCCGCCCACTTGCATGCTTTATCTCGCCTGCGCTTGTTGCAGAGGGCTCTCAAAACAGGGATTTTTGGGGGTTTAGCGGATTTTCGACTCCATATTTGGAACCAGAGCTTTCAGAAAGCCTGAAGGCGACAAAAACATTGAATTCGAGATTTTGGGTTGACGGTGCCTTTAAAGGCAGTGTCCGGGCAAAAACTCGATTTTGAGATTTTGTGCTTACCCGGGCCTATTCGCCATGCTGAATTTGAAAATCCACATTGGAAAGCGCGAAAACGGCGAAAAAGGGCTCTAACGCAGGAGGGAAATCAGAAGTGGGCGGGGTCTTCCCCACTGCGGATTCACGCTCCAAGCTTCCGGAGCGATCTTCTCGGTCCCGATTTCAAGTCATGCATTTGCACCTGACCTGTGGAGATCTCAGGGCGCTAGCGGTATTGAGAAAATCGCTTCAGTAGCTGGGACCGCAAAAATCACATTGGGGAAGACCCCGCCCACTTCTGATCTCCCTCCTGCGTTAGAGCCCTTTTTTGCCGTTTTTGCGCTTTCCAGTGTGAATTTTCGAATTCAGCATGGTGAATAGGCCCGAGTAAGCACAAAATCTCAAAATAGACTTTTTGCCCGGACACTGCCTTTAAGCACCTATGACATTGTGAAGAGACTACGCCGCTTTGCGCAACGGGTATGTTGTGACGATTATGCTTGGTTATATCATAATCTCAAGAAATCTACTATTTGGTTAGCGAAATAAGCTAAATTTTGCTTGATGTGATATTCATTGTACTCTTCCGTCAAAATTTAAAATTTCTTATTCAGCACTTCCCCTGACCTACGCTCTCAAGTATTTCGAGGAGCGCGGAACAATTTGCCTGATATGGATTCGGTTACGGCTACTCAGAGGGCACTAGAAAGCCTGTACAAAAACGATGCTACCGATACTGTCTTCTTGTTTTTGATATCAGGTGGCTGTTTCAGATTTTCAGCTTTTTGAAAGGCTGCATAAAACACCAATGTGCTTCAAAGCAAACCGGCACCCCTGCTCATCATAGCTAAGCAATACGAGCACGAGAGCTGCACCGCAATTAGACTATGCATTTTCTGCGTCACTACTTCACTTATATCTATACAAAAAATCTTCTCATCCTGATCTTCGAAACTCGATGATCTTCAATGAATCTACAGGCGGAGGTTCTGCGTTATTCTGTGCTCCCGATGGAATAACTCTGGAGGAAAAACTCTCGACGATACGAGCACTTACTGCAAATGGAGCAGATATCCGGGTTCTCAACGCATTTCGTCAAAAGCTCTCAACTGTTAAAGGAGGAAAAACTCTGAACTACATAACGAAAGGAGAGGTACAAAGGCTGACCTTTTTTGAATGCTTGCTAGACGATTATATTCTAGGTGGTCGCTTTGATTATTTCTGATCTAGTCAGCAATCAGATCCAGTTTATAGCCAGTGGACCAACAATTCCTCAAACTACAGCAATGTTGGAAATGTCAGAAGCGCTCACGACCTCCCCAAAATGGACTGCTCTCTTACCAGAAAAGATATTGGCTAGGTTAAAGGTATGGCCTTTTGGTATCAAGCGAAAAATGCGGGTGCGTTTGAAAGCAGGAGTGGACGCCAAACCGGATGGCTCCAACTTCTCAGAGACTAAAGGAGTTTTCTAAAATTACCAAAGGTGAAACTGTCTAAAATCTTAGGAGCTAGCACTGATATAGGAATGGGTATAACAATGAAGCACATGCACAGCCTGTGTCAACCGGCGTGACACAGCTCGGTCGGCTCTCCGCCGTCTCGCCCAGAACTTGCCTGCGTTCACAGACGTGCCCTCAGTGCATTTTCTTACGCCTTGGCAACGATTGGAAGCTGGTGAGGATAGGAAAATATCCAAAGAATGTTTGCGAACGCGGCTGAAGGCCCGAGCGAAGCAGCCGCGACAGCTTGCGCCACCAGAGCTGTGACACTCTCGTTGAAACACGCTATATCAGACCTACTGTCGAACCTTACCCATAGGAAGTAGGAAGTAGGGCGCGACACCCCCCCCCCCAAGAACATATAGAGGCTCATACGAAAATTTCATTTAGGTCAATCCACCCTCTCCAAAAGTGAACCCGCACAATATAATCATCGCTTCTATCACAACTGCACTCTCTGCTCTCCAACAATTCTTCACATCCAAAGGCTATGATGCACATGTTGTTACGAGCACACTCGTAGGAGATGCAACCCAAAGAGGCAAAGATTTCGCTGAGTTGCTTATGACACCAAAGCAGAACCTACACGAAGCACTGCACAAATTTGCCGCAGATTTCAATGCAGAACTAGGAAATAAGGTGAACACTTTTCATCGTTCTCTATTGAAATGTATTCAGTGTTTAGATAGCACTTTTATTTGGCGGTGAAACTACAGTTATAATCCGTGGTAAAGGAAAAGGCGGTCGAAGTCAAGAAATGGCCCTTTCTTGCCTAGCTAACCTTTCATCATCTTCCCTGCCAAAATTCCTATTCTTGGCTGCTGGCACTGATGGGCAGGACGGACCCACCGACGCCACTGGAGCTTACGTCACAAACAATGATGTAAACAGTGACATCGTTGAACGCTGCACAAATTACTTGAAAGACTCGAATTCTTACGAATTTTGGTCCACCTATAACCATGGCTCAAATCACATAAAACCTGGTCCTACTGGCACTAACGTAATGGATGTACAAATTGTTTTGATGGAGTTTGCTCAATAAACGAATACCGCTGGCTCCGCTTTATACACATAAAACAAAATTTTCTTTATCAATCACATCACATCTCTACCACAAAAAAAAAACAAAAAAAAAACACATGCAAAGTCTGTATAAAATTGCTTCAGGAAAAGTCTTATTAATCACATATGTTCGGCAACCACCGCTCAATTAGAAATTCCCGATTAAGATATATTATACAACGCGAATGGTAAAATTTCGGAAAACAATAAATAAAAGCATAGGTGCTAACCAGAAACAACACCTAAACAACCTCGTACTTTTCGGTAATAAGACGAGTTTCAGTAGACAATGGAACGTCTGTGTTACCATCCATGGTTTGTGCTGCGTCGACCTAAACGAAGAAAAAATCTTTGAATGTTATCAACGCAAAAACAGAATGAGGTGTTTGTCACAAGGCTTACCTGGATGTCGCAGTACAATCTATCAGCATGGAATCGGACTTGAACAGGAAAGAAATGGTCTGAATGTCCATTAGGTACGGAAAATTCCAATGTTCCATTCGCGTTTGTGCTGAATGGAACATGAAGTTTCTTGATCACGATGCAAAAATGGTAAACTACCTATCAATTACGGGCATCGTCCATACAATTTGGTTCCGGGCTTTTTGATATTCGTAGGATCCTTCACATTCAGATACAACGGGAGCTGTTGCCGGACTAAAATAGACGGATATGATATATAAACCTCAACCAAGCTTTTACTGATTTGGATCTCACTCAACATCACCAATCAGAACTAAAAAATTCCAATTGAGTCGTAGCCTGATCTAATTTTTGTTTAAAAAAATGATACGTTTTGTTACACACATCTTCCTTGTAAAAAAGCTTTTCAAAACTGTATCATCAACTCTGAAACCTATTTCAAGGGAAGATTTCTATAAAAACAACTTCAACTGCTCATGAGCATGCTTTTGAACAAAATTCCACCCTTTGAGCGGCTTTTAGCAAAGTATAAAGTTAATAACGTAATCAATCACAACAGATGAACGAACGCGCAATATCTATCAAGTAATTGACATATAAGACTCATACTGCAGATATAAGACTGAAAACTCACGGTAGTGGAACTGTGATCACTACGTTCTCCAAGGATAGGTCTTCCCTTTGTAATGTGTATTCAATGTTCACTTGACAACCATCAGCTGATTCTTGTGGCCAGCAATTCACTCAAAAAAAAAAATAAGAATTCTCGTAGAAAGGAAAAAAGTAGGAACACTGTCTGCCTACATGCAATAGGTAGCTGCTCCTCTTCTGTAAGCACCATTTTCCACTTGAGCACACCGACATCATTATTGACTGGGAATGGTTTCCCTGCAGACTTCAACTTCAGCAAAGAAGAGTGCTGCCATTCTTTCTTGTCAAGATTAGGATGGACCTGAATGAAATTTCAAGTGGAAGCAAATTTAAACATGCATGAATAACCACAACAGAAAAACATGAAGTCAGGTTGAGTGCTCACTAACCTGCAACTGCGCTCCCGCAGGAGCTTTGTTATGCATTTTTATCACAACCGTGTTATACTCGGGAGCAGATACCGACAGTGAAACAACTCCAAGAATCTGAATATTCGAAGATAGTGCACCCGACTATTTGTTCAAACGTTCTAATTACCTCAGCTCCTTGTAGACCTCCATCGCGGCTAACAGTGGCAACCATTTTCTCTTCAGTACGCACGTGAACAGCTTCTCTCTTGACATTAGATGCTGGAGCTGCTGCGACGGCGGATACTCCAGCCCCATCACGCTAAAAATGGTTACGATGGGCAGTCAAGCAAAGAAAGTCCGTATTTGAAACAACGTGAACACCTGCACTTCAAGAAAAAGGATAAAACAGTAAAATTAGAGATCTTGATTTGAAGGAAATTCTAGCTAAAAAATAGCCGAATACCTGAGCTCTCTCAACTGGTGCAATCGTTTGTCCCTCCTGCCGGAGCTGCTGTAGGAAGACGTCTTCGTCCTTTGATTTAGCACCAAGTTTGAGCGCCTGAACCAAGAATTTTTTCAACCACGAATTGCAAAAACTTTCTAGTCAAAATCACACCTTTCCTCCGCCAGCTCTATGTGAAGTAGTAGCAGGTCGAGGTGCGGCGGGCTCTGATACTGCAGTAAGCGGTGTCGATGAAGAAGAAATACCCGTAGCTGATGAGCCGAAATTTGCAGCTGTAATGAAAGAAGTTTTTAGAAATGAAACGAGACACTGATGCAGCCAAAGCAAGCCGCTGTAATTTTAACCTGATGGTTTGAGTCCCTTGCTGAGAGCTTCTTTCTGCATTCGTTTGAATTCTTTTGCTTTCTCAGCCATCGCCTGCTTTGCAGCACGTTCTTGAGCCTAAATAACCAACACTATCGAACGCATAACGACACGACGGAAGAAAACTCACCTCTTTGATTTGCAGAAATACGCGTTCTTCATGCGAGTCCATCTCAGTGAAGGTTCGAATTTGAGCCAAGTTGACACTTTCCCTTGAAATATAAATTGCACACGATTGTTAATGGTCATGCGCCATGTGAGATTAATATTGATATTTTTACGTTTTGACGCTATTTCTGGCCATCGGCACAACTGGTGCAGGTAAATAAGCACAATAAGTCAAAGTGATGACTTCAAATCGACAAGCATTCGAGTTACAGATGTACAGAACAAAAGCAACACATTTGTTGAAAAAAATCCTTAGGAGAAAAAAGGTTTCCAAATCGAAAAATGAATGAAAACACCAACTTCGAACAGATATCATGATAAGAGTAGTAGGTGCAAAGCAGTACCTGTAGCCAAGGGTGACAACCTCATCAAATGCAAAGATCAGATCAAAGTCGTGCGCCAGAATTTCCTTCTCATCGTTTGATCGACAGTATTCAGGGATCTAAACTGTACAATTTAGAACTAACACAAGATGCAATTTGTCGGCTTACCACACGCGAGAACAATCTAAGAGTCTCAAGGTCTTCAAGTATGTTTGAAGTTTTCGTAGTGATCAAAACCATATACAAATTGTCCAGCGGATGGTAGACATAGCGTACGCTGTCTGTTTCGATGAAAGTATGCTGGCGTTGTGCTGAAATCGCAGTATTTCAGATGAATATGTGACTACATAGTGTCAATCAGAATGAGACCGCACATCCCATAACCATCCCAAAAGCAGCAACAGAAAATAGCGTGTACGAAATGGATAACCATGTTAGACAGAAAATGTGCAAACAGAGTTTAGTGTGGGCAAGTTGGGCGAAAAGTGTGATGACCACACATATGATGATTCGGGCAACTAACCTGCTTTGGATGACTCTGAAGCGAAACAGATCAATCAAAACTGATTAGGTTCACATGCTTATTCTGGATAACACAAGAACAAACGTAATGGAAATAAATTTTTGGTGGAAAACTTAAATACTCATGATACCTGAGTCCTTATCGTTGCCAATAAGTTTGGGAAAAGCATCAAGGAGTCCTTCCATGCGAGCACGTGTCATATCCGACACGAACACTCGTGTGACAAGAGCTAAAGGCGAGATTTTGGGGGTCAAAAATACAATGATGTAAATAGGTCGGAAAGAAAAGAATGTCGCTTTTATCGCGTTTTTTCGACAATACTGATATTTTTCAAGAACTGATGCATACTTAAGGCCAAAATTTTATAGTTGAAGTTCCAAAAGTTTGTAGTATACAACGGCATAAATGGGAGGAGCGGAGGATTACTGGAGGCGGAATTTATCATTCTCCGTTTTCCAATTTTTTCTCATTTACTCACGAAAAAATATAGCACTTGTACCTATAGACAACTGCATCTTTCTGTTACATGCAGGAGCAAGTGTAAGTTTCGTAGGATTTTTAAGAACGAAAATCCCATTTTTAAGCATCATAAACTGTTCCCGTGTTCTGGCTCCAAACTTTAGATAAATCACAATTTCTGCTATTGTTCAAAAATCAACTTGGAGAGCATCCTTTGCTCTACAGAATGGTACGTCTAATATATTTATAGTGTATATACGTCTAATATATTTATAGTGTATTTATAGTGTGGATGGTTTTTTTTTGCTGCTCAGTCTATTTCGGTTCAAAAAAGATACTTGCTTGAAAGATTGTTGACTGAAATAAATGAAATGAAATGAAAGTGTCCGTCTTACTGCTCTGCCATAAAAAACGACATTCTTTTCTACCCATAATAGAAAGTGAAAAAAGTCAGAAAAACAGCAACAAGGAAATTACTTACCTTTACCTGACTTGGACACAATGCTAGCCGAGATCAACACCATTTTGAGTTTCAAAGAGACCTGGAACATTAAAAAAATAACTGCAGCGACTACAAATATGACACTTCCTTGCGGTATTAGTGAGTAAGACTTCAGATAAACACATTGAAAATAATTCGTAGTATCAAAACTAACTGGGAATTTGTTTTATTGCAAAAACTTCCAAAACTCAAACAAACAAGGACATTTGGAACGAAGTGAAGCAAATTGGCAAATTGCCAAAGTCCACGTCGCACCACGCTCTTGGGGACCCGCAGACTAACCCTTTGAATTCACCAAGGCTTTGCGACGGGAAACTTTTCTTCTGACGAAAAGTGCAGCTTGCATGAGGTCTATTAGATTATAAGCAGGTTAGCTTGTTCAGGAAATGGACCAGTGCATAGCAGTAATGAGAGGAAGCGCAGATTTCACCGATCTGACCGGGCAAAAATGGGTGGCGAGCAAAAGGAACGCGCGCATCTTTCACCCTCATTCTTCAAATGCTTCCAATCAAATGGAGTAGTCGAGTGGATTCCGTTTGGTTAGAAGATGTGGAATCACTTTTTTACTCCAAGATAAATTGGGTGAGGCTTTGAGCATTTCACGGTTTTTCCTGCGGCACTAGATTGCACCTAAAACAGGCTCCGAGCGAAATTTATTGAGTAAAAGGTATATTTCAGCCCTTTTGATTTTCACTAAGTCCGAAACGCGCTTTTTGAGGCAAAATAGCGCATGCCTGGCAGCGGCAGCTGACAACTGCTATCATTCCTTAGTCCCCACCCATCATACCTATATACCTACCTATACCTAACGAATGCTTGTCAAAGGTTGGAGCCACAGCAAGCCCAGCTAGAAATGAAGACACTTCAAAACTAAAATCTTGGTTTCAAATTGTACCATTTCGCTAGATGCCATAAATTCGGTGAGAATGGGATGGGCCTCCTCCGGTGGCCGTCATCAGCGAACCCATTGCGGCAGCCCAAAGGGTAGGCTCAACCTACAAAATTATGTAAGAGAAGCCAGTGAGTTGGTGCATCAGTGGGTTAAGCCTATGCAAAGCCACACCGGTATCCATGAACGAAGCAATGATTTGCCAACACCCAAAAGTCGGATACTGGGAAGCTGTCGACCCGAATGTATTTTTGAGGAGTAGATCGACCAATCCAAGCATTGAACAAAAGTCGCGTGGGTCTTCTCGAACTTTGGTGGTGTTAGGTAGTAGACTCCCAAATACACTGTAGCCCAAACCCCACCTGCTAATTCGTGCGGTAAGTCATGGGAAAAAGGTTCTTCATAACTCCACCGGCCCCAGCCACTTTCATTGAGTGTACTTGGGGGTCTATTACGTAACACCACCAGAGTCCGAGAAGGGTCTATTGCCGATTAGGGCTCGGCATGACTTCGTTTCTAGGCTTCTTGAAAACGAAGTCCCCCGTGACTTTTGCGAAATTTTACGAAGTCCCTTTTGATTCTCAGCCCTAAACCTAAAAAACCCTAAAAAAACGTTGCAATTTTTGGCCACAAAAACATATTCCCTTTGCTTTTTCGCCTTAAAAACGAAATCCAGCCTGCTTCCATACGATCCGTGCCGGGCCCTGTTGCCGATCACTGCCTCCGAAATGAACCCAAGAGTGTTGGGCTCGCAGAGTGACGTCATGAACGTCGCGCTCTTGTGCCCGAATGAAGTGTCCGATCCAAATTGGCACTGCAGCAGAATAGGAGTATGGTGAGGACAGATACTTGACTCGACGCCATAAGTAACACCGCAAAAGGAGCGGCGGATCACGTACCGTGGATTTCACTCGCGTCATTGCTTCGCGAAAATTTCCCCTCCATCGCACTTCCTGGCCGTTCTCTGGGCTCGCACGACTGTAATGCTTTCCACCGAGACCATCTCCGCGCCCGACACACCCTGGCTGCGTTTCCAGGCACAGGGAAAAGATAGTTTAACCGCGTGCGGGAGGGCTGGGACAAGTCATTAGGGTTGCTGATTAGAAATGTCACACTTTCTTCGCACGAAAACGTCTCCCTGCATGGTTACGGTGGGTTTACGGTAGGGGTCAAAATCACAAATCGGCAAATGTATCTCTCCCCCTGTGCTTTGCTTAGGCAAAAGCGCAGCAGGGTGTGTAGCGCGCGGCGGTGGTCGTGTGTGCAAAGCTTCACGATCGTCCGAAGCGCTTACACCCGTTTCAGGCAGAACTATGTTTTACACCCGTTACCGCGTAGCAACCTTAACGCGAGAAAATGACGCTACGGTTCAAAATCAATGTGACATTTGACACCAGCGGGCCGAATAACCCCCTGGGCCATTTTCGGGCAAATCCGCGATTTTGACCTCCTGCCGTATACCCACCGTAACCCTGCAGGGAGGCATTTTCCTGCGGAGAAAAGGTGATATTCGTGATCAGCACGTCAGATAACCCCTCTGGGCCAAGTTTGAGCCAAATGCATGACAAAAAAATTTTGAGGACCGGATAGCCGAATAGCGCCGATTAATTTTACCACTGTTAAGTACATAAGAAAGCTTTCCAATGACATGCAGAATCCAATCGAGAAAGAAATAAGAAAAAATGTTGTTCGGAAAGTAGGCTTAAAAAAGTGGACATTATATTTGCAACAGCCAATACACTGAAGGTAAGCTACAAAACTCTTGGTAGAACCTGTTAAACATGTAGATGACATGTCAAATTTTTTGACACATGGCAGGAGGTTGACTCTCCATCCTGTGAAGTTTTTACATTTGATACAAGAAAAGAAACTATATCCTTTTTCAAAAAAAGGTTATTACAAGAAAAGCAATTCCTTTCTTTAAATGGGTCCAATAAAGTGCTTAGCAAGCAGTGAGTTATGAGTGGAATTTTCCAAAAAACCTAAGACAGCTAATTCGCAAAAGAAATTCTTAAAAATTGTTGTGTTGCATATACAAGGTCCTTTTCTGCTTAATTTGTTTGCATTTGTATCGCATGCTTTTGTTACTGTTCCTTCCGCTATCCAATCACAAATATGGGGCACGAGTGATAGTGATACCACCCTAATTTTACGAGTACAAGACGCATTTCTTAAAATTTTTTTCAAGCAAGCAGCTCGGCCGCATCACTGTGCTTTGCGGAATGGTCGCTCCAAACATATTGGCCCGTAGTAAACCCCCCATTAGGGCATCTCCCTCGACGCGGACCGGAGATTGATGAAATCTTGGTTGTCGCTGAAACATAGCATACACGAATATCCAATTAGCGCTTTTTTGATTATGTGCTCGAAAATGTTGTCAAATCAAACAGTTCTATCACTAGTGAACGAGCAAGATTTGACAATTAATTTGCTGCAAGAGATTTTCTTGATTTGGGGTTTGATTTTATTCAATTTTGAGATTTGTAAGAGACTTAAAGCTCAAACTGAGGAGATGGGTCTCTGGGTTTCTTGCAAATTAAGATCAAATCAGATCTCAGATCATAAGTCTCTTCTGACAAAACCATTATCGTCTTTCTCGTTGTACAGGTGAATAAATTCTTCGATTATTAGCATTTTCGAGCACCTGACCAAGAAAGAAGTCATTTTACTTGATTTGATAATTACCCTATTTTCAGGTGTATAAGCAGGGGGCCGGTCCTAGCTTACATCGACCAGCCCGAACACATCAAAGGACCTCGCAACCAACGGACCCTACACCGTGCTGCGTATTGACAGGAAGAATCGTGCGGCATAAGGATCGCTTCTCGAAAAACAATGAAGAGGTGAGCAGCTCGTGGGAAAATTTGAAAAAGTGCGGCTTATACGCTGAAAATAGGGTAAGAGAATGGGTGTTACATCTGTTGCTGACAGCCAATTTTGCCTAACCGAGCTTTTTCACAGTTACATGTCCAGTGACATCAAGCGTGTAGAGCGCTCGTATCTGATTGATCTGCAACGTGTACGGGAAACCCGAATCGGATATATACCGCCCATGGTCTGTTCCCAAGGAATGTTTTTTTAGGTACCGCGTTAGCTCGGCCTTTCGATCGTTTCGACACGTTCATTATGAAAAAATGCTTTGAATTTGCTGAAGCTGAAATGTTGAAAAAAAAACCCCAATCGGGCATGGAGCATGATGAAGGAAAAGCTTTGATTTTTGTATATGATGTCACTTTTTGATGGTAGTTCCCTAGACGGTGCACACATAGAGCATGTGGAAGCTCTTATTAGCATGCGCTCAACAAAAGAGCCTTCATATGACTACAAAGACAAAATAATAAACAAAGAACGTGTGATTTGGAGTTACCATACTGCACAAAAAATGCAGGAGAAGCTGAACTTTTTCTGTCCTTATTGTCACATTCAGAAATGTTTGATTTGCTCTTCCATAGATCGTTGAACTTTTGATTATAAATTTTCAGCCTATCAGTCAAATACTCAGGGGAATGGTCAGAACTTAAGTCATGAGTATATTCTTTTCTCAGATTTTTCTCTTCTTCTTTCTTCTTTTCGGGTCCCTGCCAAATTCTACACAGTTTTGTAGGTGAAATATCTGGTCCCTTTTCAGAGTCGCCGAGTGGAAAACTGTCGATTTGCTCGAGAACAGCTGACAAGAGCCTATAAAGTATAGGGGGCCCGACATGGGTCATCTGGAAGCAGGCTGGACTTAGTTTTTGAAGCAAAAAGCAAAAGAAATATCGTTTTTGACGAGTCGGGCCAAGCACCAAGAGTAAGAGAGTTTTCTGAGGATTCTTAAGAAATCGATTTTTCGGCATTTTTTTAAAATCATAACTTTTGAAAGAAGAGCTCGATTAGCACAAACTTGACTCAATTAGTAATAAAATATAAGAAAACTCAGGACGATGGCTGTTCTGGATTTTATCGCACAGTTTCTAGATTTTTAGAATTTTTGCTTAAAAATTCCGAATTTCGGATGATTTCGTTCTTTCATTTTTATTTCTGCAAACTGAGCATGTTGGAAAGTCACCAGGGTACTTTTTGGAAACTATATGCTTTACGCTTTCAGATAAAATTTGAATTGCGCAAAATCATCATGAAGGAAAGAAGTTATGATTTTTTGAAAATGGTGCGACAGAACTTTTTTGTCACTTCACATAAGTTTCGGATTTTTCCATCAGGAACGGATTTTCCGGTCAAAATCTATCCCTGAGCATGAGAACATTTTTATATCATTGCCTTTCCTTTGTTTTTTGCTTTCATTTCTTCATAAATCGATTTGTTAAATATCGCGCCCCTGTGCCAAACTCTTGTGCATGTAGTATTCAGCTCTAGATTTTCACTCTTATCTTACGTTTTTTTTCAGAATAGTAAATCTTTCTTGTTTTCATATTCTCCTAAGCAGGTAGGTCAAAGGGGACTTCGTAAAACTTCCGAAAGTCAGGGGAGACTTCGTTTTCAGAAACTCTAGAAACCGACTCGTGCCGGGCCCTGATCGGTATGCGTGGTTTGTTGCAGATTACAGGGCTACAATACTGCCTGCATTGTTGGGATTGCACTCGAACTCAAGTATAGATAACTATAGTAAATTTCAACTCAGTTTAGGCGAAAATCGGACGTTGGCGGGAGTCCGTTTCGCAATGATTCGCGCCGTCTTCATTTTAATCTGTCTCGCTGAGCCAGTGGCGGTGCGGATGCGCTGCTTCACTTTGAATCTTTTGCTTACTCCGGATTGAAAAAGCCTGTGTATGGCCTAAACAGTATACTTTGTACCGAATCGAATAAGAATTCAAATATTCGAATAAAGTATTCGAATAAATTTTATTCGATCAATTATTCGAAAATTTAAAAATCTCGAATATATTCGATATTCGCTTATTTGAAATTTGTCAACTTCGAATTTATTCGATTATTCGGTTATTCGAAAATTTTGATTTTCGAAAATATGCGAACATTCGGATGTTTATTTTCAGAAATTATTCGATTATACAATTTCGTGTAAACGAATAACTACATGACAGCGTCACAATTTTGATTGCTACATCATCAACCATCGTTTGTTGTCCAAGTTGCCCACTGCATGGAGTCCTTCATTGTGCTGATTCGATGAAAATTTGTTTGAATATTCGACATAATCGATGCAAAATATTCGTTTATTCGGATTTTTTCTGAAATATATTCGACTATTCGGGCTTTTTTCATTTCGAATATATTCGATAATCGATTATTCGACGATTTCCTTATTTCGAAAATATTCGCTATTCGATTATTCGGCATTTTTGGTTTTCGAATATATTCGATTATTCGATTACTCGACATTTTTTGTTTTTGAAAATATTCGAAATCGATTGATCGATATTTTTGATTTTCGAATATATTCGATTATTCGATTATTCGATTATTTGAAAAAAATCTTGAATATTCCAAAGTATACTAAACAGCGAAGAGCTTCAAAAATGCTTATAATACAGAAGAGTGGAAAGAACGATCGGAAGTCCTACAATGTCAACAGCATTAATATAGTATACATGCACTTCTATGCACCGCTCTTTCTCAAGCTAGTTGTTCTACCATCCAGCAATGTCTTATGTGTCATATAAGATCAAATCTTACACACTGACTAAAGAAGCAACCGAGGCATATAAAAAGTATAAGCTCCATTAATTATTCAATATAGAATAGTTTGAGGCTGTTATTGCAGAAGCATGTTCAATAGCAGCATGCAATCTAATTAATTGCGTTACAGCGGCATCCTGGGGTGTGACCAGGTTTTAGCCGTGGAGTCTCTCCTTTTGCGAGAGAAGATCTTGTTCAGTTCTGACTTTACACTCCTATAAATGATACGTTCAGCTTTTGGATTACATTGCATTGTCACCGTTTACTTGTTCGAGATCATATAAGGTAAGATAAGCACGTCGAAATAAAGAAGAATAGAATAGCCGTCGCAAACTCGTTGCCAGAATTCGGAAAGTCCTGATGACGGACCGTACTCCCAGTAGAGGAAAAAGAGTAGTTCAAAGAATGATACTACCGCAGCCTGAAGAAGACATCAAATTATTAGCGAGAGAATCTGAAAGTTACCTGCAATGTCATCCGAATTTCGTTGTTGTGTGTAAACGTAAGTGTTCCTTTCAAGAACAGTGTACCGAACATGACAGTATAGGCAGAAACGTTAACAACCCCGACGACAAAATTGGACACTTGATTCATTCTGCAAATTGCTCTGGATTTCAAGCATTGAATAAGCAGAAGTAGTTATTGAATGCATCAACCAAAAACTTGTACAGTGTGATAGATTTTTGATAAGTGCGCTTGTGGTGGCGAGATCCTGCAGTAAAATTTGCGTTCAAACAAATAGTTACGCCATGCCGATATTTTGCTCGCGCAATTGGCCAGCATCACTGGCTCTCTATTTGTCAGGCGCAAATCGTCCCCGCAGCCACACTATATATATTGAGCAAAAAATCTACTATAGTGTTTTGTGGTGGTCGAAAAATAGCAGGACTCAAAGTAAGGCACATTCCTACAAGAAAGGTCACTCCGATTTTCGCAACGTAGGTACCAAAAGATTCCTATCGAAGTATGCTCACTTGCTTATCGTGACTCATATAATCGTTAAATTGCAAGGTTATGGTTCGCAGTAATTACCACAAATTCCCAACACTGTCACCCTGTTTGGACCTTACCCTAGGACTGCTTGGGCTCAAGGGTCCAATGTGGTAAGTTTGACCATGTCGGGCACGGGAGGCCCGATTTCGACAGATCGGGCTCTGCTGCCCGTTTGGGCCTGCTAACCAAATTACGGGATGAACATTCCCGCCCATCCGGGTCGTGTACAACGGTGCAACGTGCGAGCAGAAGATTGACAAATACCGCCTCAGAGCTCGGGCTCATGATTCACGTAATTCAGTTTGTTTAGTGAAGGTTGGACTCTCTCATGTTGCTTAGAAAAGGTCGTCAAAGTACGTAGCTCTATGTATCGGAAAATGCTGCTAATATTTCGTTTACTATGCGCAGGAAGGAAAATAACGGCTCATTCATTGCCTCCAGTTGGTGTCCGACCGCTCTGTATAACGATAACTAGTACGACTATAACCCTTACACTTGGATGAATCCGAGAAAACGCCTTCGCTCAAAATAAAAGAATATCTGCGCAGGACAGTATACAACTGAGGCCAATGGAGTTAATGTGAAACACACATACGCGATGTAGAATGCAATCATGGAGAGGATACATGCCTTAAAGTTCTGAACTTAGTACACTTGCAATCAATACTTCAACGAAGGTCAGAGTCCTAATGTCACCTTTAGTATACTTTTCTTGAGAATGAATCGTGCTTGTAATGGGAGCAAGGTGTAAAATAAACGATGTGCAGTAAGGCAGACATTTGTCGCAACATATGCAAGGAAACTGCCTTGATAGTTGGAGCCGGTTATCTAAAATCAAACGAGTATGCATAAATTATACTACAATAGAGTGGAAACGTTTATAATTTAGCTCACCCGAATTAGAAAAGAGCTTTGAAACAAAGCTATTGAGTGTATATTACAGACAAGCAAACCAAGATAATTCAAGATGCTGAACAATGCCATGATTTGCAGGAGATAGAAAGCAAAATCAGATTCCCATCCTTTCATTTTTTGACAAACCTGTAAATTAGAAAATTTTCGGTCATGTCACGAGTTTTTGGAATACTTCTGATATATTGAGAAATACTCTAAACATTAACTCCGATTGCGAGTCTGCCGTTTCTGAAAACTAATGCCCACTTATAAGAAACACGACCTCTATGCCTCAGAGCAATGTGCATTTCTCTTATTTCCATGAGAGACAAGGAAGCAGAGAATGCGGATCACTTCAATTCCTCGTCTGTAAATGCATTCATGCTTATAAGCGAGATACATATTACTGTTCTTTGATTCAAAAGATTCATTCACATATAACGTTACTGGTTTAGGCATATGCTTCAAGTAGGCGCATTTGAACGATCTATCTTGGCAGAACATTGCAACTTAGCCCGCACTGAGAATATAACTCCATGTTTATGTCACTACTTACCATAACAAAAAGGCTTTGTAGAACGAGTGAGCTCCCAGCAATAATGACGCAGGAACTGGCATATAGGATGCGAGCCGTTCCCACCATTGGAAACTTCTCTTGTGTGCAGTTATAACTCATTTTAGCATACCTAAAATCTTACGAATATCAGAGGTTCTGTGGCAAGGATAAAATTCAGCAATAAAGTGCATTCGCAGCATATATCTACATTTTAACTTTAGTATATTCCGCAAAAGAGGCGCATCAGCAAGAAGTAGTGGACTTATTTCCACCAAAAATATCATCTTTGAATATCTACAATCGGTTTTTGACAATCAGTTTTGGTGGGCTTCTAACAAGTTTGCTAATGCATGATAGGTATGGGGTATATGTGAATGGTACCACCGCTTGTAAGAAATCAATTGATAAATTGTTCTTAGAGATCTTCTAACAAAAGGCCACACATTTGTAACGAAATAAATAGCTCATATTATTGAGTACACTATCAAAAAATCCTTTAATAGAGAGCCTGATAGGTCCAGTCTATGATAGTCGCGGTCTCGGAAATCTAGTATAAGCCTGGTGAGAAAGCAGGAATTCATCAGTAATTGGATTCGATGAGTAGCTGTGAACCAATGGTCATTACCAATATAACAATCGTAATCACTACTATAGCCAGCCAAAACAACGACCAATGGCCTATAATCTGTTTATATCTTGCTGTAAACAAGACAATCTCGAATAAAAATAAGAGCTAGTTCCGCGCAAGATATATTTGATTGGCTAATAAAGGGATCGAAGTGTGCACCCATGCACAATCGCATAATAGAAAGACCTGTAGCTGTACTATGAACAATATTTAAAAAAAAATATACCTTCAAATTCACAATGCTTATACTTTTACTTCCGTAGCTTCATTAGGAATTGATCTGTATATCGTGCTGACCTTCAGTTCTCTAAATAGTGGTCATTTAAACAACATTTTTTACTGCCTACTTTTCAGAAAAAAGTGAGAAATCTTAGATTTCTTGTCAAAAATTATCATCAAGGATCTTGTTTCATAAGAAAATTTCGTCAATGCTTTTGCTTTTACCGGATTGACAAGGCAAGATTTAATCCCATGACAGATATTCTGTAGCTCATAGAATGTTGAACATAGAGTAGGGCCCGCCACGCATTAGTTTGAAGCATTTTTTAAAAAGGAAGTCCCCAATGACTTGGCGAAATTGTACGAAGTCCCCTTCGACGTCAGAATCAGTGACGAAAACTTTATCCAATCTATTAGAATAAAGAAGCGAACAAAGAGTATTTGAAGTGCTACAAACATCCACTTGGTCTGGTGCTGGTCTAGAAACCAACAAATTCGGGCATTAGAACACACAATTTTTTGCAGCATTTTACATAATTTTGAAGTAATATTGTATACACTTAGCCCAAATTCGGTGCCATGTGATTGTTTCTGAGGTGCAAGCCATTTGTTTGTTTGAGTCTCGCGTTTAAAATTCGCGCGCTTGCGACAAAACGCGTCCAACTCGTAAAACATCACATGTTTGTCGATTTCCTCCAAGAATCTTAGAAAAACGATCCCCATTGCTTTCACCCATACTTTCGATACCCTGGAGACAAGGCGTCAGAAGTGAAGGTTGTTTGGATATCTGCTCCCCCCCCCCCCCCCCATAAAAAATGAAGGTTGTTTATAGGAATTCAGATAAGAAAAAAGACGCAAATAGCAATACAAAAAAAACAGATAAACAAGAACGGTAAAACAGATGGCAAAAGCCAAAGGAATTCCTGAAAAAAGGACATCTTTCATTTGCCGGTATTTTGAAATGCACGTATTCGCGGATCAGAGAATCCACAACACTGGGGAAAACGAAGACAAAAATTTCTTCTTCGTGGTTGTTCAAAAACACCATTCGTCGGAACTGGTGATTCAAAGGAGATAAACGAGAAAGGCACTACTTATAGAAACGCACGATTTCTTTTATACTAAGGAAGTGCACGTCAAAGCCAATTTAGTTTTTGATGTGTCCTCTAAATTTTTAACCCCGCATTGTCGTTCCTCTCTCTTGAGACATTGTTTGGATTGTTGCACTCATTATTCTGAGCAATAACCGTCCAAGCTGGAGAAAAATCGCTGCGAAAACACTGAAAGAGAACAATGTGAAGAAAAACGCACTTTTTACGATTTTTCATGATAAGTTTCGCCATAATCGAAGAAGTAAGCGCGGAGCGTTCTCTACATTATGAACAGAAGCAAGATTTATATAATGCACAAGATCGCGTGAAAAGAGTTAAAGGCAGTGTCCCACCAAAAATTGGTGGTCGAGAATTTTGCATGTTGCAAGCCCTTTGTCCCTGTCTAACTCGATACGGGTCCAAAATCGTATAAAATGCACAGAAACCCCTTTTTTAAAAGCCCCGTGGAAGCAGCGCGGACGAACAGTCTGCCTTCTCAGTCTAGCCTTTGCCGCAGTAACTATCCTCTATTTGGCGTCAAACTCCATGGTGTGCACGCAGCAGCCCATGGAGTTGGACGCCAAGTGGAGGGACATTTTGGAGCGCGTAAGGGGGAAACCAGGAGCGTCGGCCGTTCGGGACCAAATCGCGCTTTGCAGGCCACTTTGAGAGCAAATTTTTCAGCGTAAAAGGGCCCAGATCGAGTCGGACTTGGGGCGATCGCCAGTTCAGGCGGTCCTCTACCAAAATATCAAGTTGAAAATAAGTTTTGCAACTCATCCAGTAACTTTTCTCGCACACATGGCGCACTCAAATTTTGCCACTGTGTTGTATGACGCAAGCCAAGCTACAAGCGTAGCTGCTGCCCTACCAAATTCTGACGTCGCACTGAGGGTTACGATATATAAAGGGAAAAAATTATAAAATTCGACAGATTTGGCTGAAACTTGGCATAGGGGGGGGGCTATCCGACATACTGATCACGAAAACAATGCTGAAGTTGCGTGATAAAAGCTTTCTTGTAAGATTACTGAATTCATCCTAAACAAGGAAAGAGGCGTTGATTCAACTAATGAATATGATATTCGTGTTTAGCAGGTCAAAAAACCTCAGTATATAGAGGCTCGGGGAATTTTGTGGTCTGACTTCTTAGTCATTGAGGGTTGTCCCCAGCAGCCTTACGTACAGCAACTCGTTCGGTTTGTGAGAGCGCCAAATCTCGACTTGCCCCTAAATTTTGTTCCTTCTTGGTGAGCCAAATGAGTCAACCTCTAGCAACAATTCATACATGATTCCAGATTATTGCGCATAGCTAGGCTGCTAACGGCTTCATTTTTGGCTTATAACCCCAAAAAATTCTAAAATTCTGTAGGTTTCGAAAAATGCTTGGAATTTTTCTGATTCGTTTTCAACATCCAAACAGTTCAGGGAGATTGTAGCTCACATTACGCTCCACATGCTACCAAAGTTCAAGTGCACCATATCCAAAGAGTTGAATTATGAAAGTAGTTGCAAAACTTAGTCTCCAGCGCAATATATACAGACGCGCACTACCCCAAGTCTGTTAAGGCACTGCCTTCAATATAGGAGCAAAACAAGAAATTTTCGAAAACACAGCTTTTGCTGGATTTCTCGTTCAGATCAAAAATATGTGCTATTTCAAAAAATTTAAAAATTGTCGAAATTTTTTCACTTTGTGCGCATTGTGTAGGAGTTAATACGATGTTGAAAATAAATTCTAAAACCTCAAAAATATTTCTTCAAATCAAACGGATTCGCGCCAACAAATTGCATCATCAACTCGGAAAGCGTGTCTACATCAATGTGACCTCCCCCCTCATATTCGCCAAAAATATGGATTATGCCGTGACCGATTACTACATCGCCGCTATCTCGCTGATCAGCTGCAATAATGTCATCACACTGGCAGAAATGCCCTAAATGTACTCCCACTCATAGCTGGTGTTTTGGGAAGGGCCTGCGTTTGTGACCTTACCGATTGGTCTTGAACATGATATTTTGTAAAAGCTGCTTAGACTTGCAATAGATAGGAACAAAAGTGTAACCATAAAATAAAAAATACAATAAACGCCAACCTGATATGAACACCGCCATTTTCCAGCTGGGTGTTACGAGTGGCTTATAAGATTGCAAAAAATACAATCGTATCTTTGTTCGTAAATGTCTCAAAAAATATCCACCGTCCCGTTACTTTATTCGCGATCATTTTACGATGTTCATCGAAAATGGTTTACTTCTTACTATGAAACCTACATCCCCTATTGAATCATGATTAAATCTCGGATTGCATTTTTCCAACACGATTATCATGGTTTTTCCTCTGAAATGACAATAACCACTCTTGTGACCAATTACAAACCTCGCTTAGGGTTTCGTGCAACACATTATAGCCAAACACATTCTTTGCAAGGCATACAAATCGTAGCATCCGCGGATGCAACAGATCCCAACAGGGCTCAGCACAGCTGGCACCGGGTCAAGCTGGATATCGTTTTTAGCGCGGAAAGCAAAGGGGATATCGTTTCTACAGGGGCCGAGGCGGAGAACTGCCGCAAAAATGCCTCCGGCATGCCACCGGTATGCCATTGGCAAGCTGTTCATCAACAAACAAAGGCGTTGTTTTCAGCCAAAACGCAATAGTATGACACCAAATTTGGTGTGTGCATGCGCGTTGGTGGACCGGAACTACGGGCCAAAAATTTATGAAAACTTATGTGAATGAAAGCTGTGCCCAACTTTTTTCTGAATTAGCTGGCACCGTGCCAGCTGGATGCCAGCTGAGCTGGCACCGACACTTTGCTCACATAAGTTTTCATACTTTATTACATAAAATGTATCTACACTGTAAAAGATTACATACGGAGAAGAAACAGTTTCATAATGTTCTCTTTTCAGCGTTTTATAGCAACTTGAAAACCACTCGGTCCGCTCCGCCGTCGAAAAATCGGCTAATCTGCTTCTCAAGATGTGATTGGACCACTTAAAAAGCTCAGAAAGCTTGAAAAGTTTTTTCATGAAATCAGAAATGCGTGAAAACACTGCTACATTTTTTTTTACATAATATAAAAATGATGACGAGTTTTCAAAACAGGTCAAAAGGGACTTCGTACAAAATTTTCAATATCAAACGGGACTTCGTTTTGAAATTTCCCTGGTGCCAGCTCGTGCCGAGCCCTGGGTCCCAAGCTTACCATACTTGATAGCTCGAAAAAATGTATAAATGTCGAACAACACATGAGAAAGGACTATCCCTCAAGCGACCCCCTTTGCATTCTATACTTCTCTATAATGCAGTTGTGATACGATCATGAAAGATCTGCAATTCAGAAAAGCTCTGATGAAAGCTACAATACGAAGATGTTTACCGACCTTAGTTAACTTTTGTAAGAACTTGAAATGAGGCTCAGTGAATACAAGTAGATCGATCAAATTCTGTGTCCAGTCGTACAGAGATTGCACCTGGCAGTGGGTAGTAAAGTCGCTACTTTGAAAATCAAGGTGAAACACAACAATCTTGTGTTTCGTCAATGCTTGACAACATGCTTCTTCAATATCTTCTCAATTAGCCTAGCGAAATAGTAACAGTAAGGATCGAAAACTGAGAACTACTACATTGTACTTTTTCTTCTTCGATTTTGGCATAACATATGAAGCTTTCTCGTCAGCGTTTCCGCTTTCAAGAGTGCTGAGTATAAATTGAAGTAGGGCGCTAGAATTTATGGATACTCGGCTAGCAGTGGCGTACCGAGGGGGGAGTGGGCCTCCCCCCCCCCCCCCCCGAGAACGGGTCGCGAAATTTGTAAAAGTTACTTATATGGGTTATAAAATTGTGCAAATGACTTGTCTGCACTTGTAAATAATTAAACTAATTTTTAAAATTTTTTTAAAAAATTTATTTTAGGCTTATAAAAAAAATTTTCCGGGACGTAACTAAAGCCACGCCCCTTTTTTTGAAATTTCGTGGTTGAGCCCGCGAAAATTTTAGGGAGCATACCAAAAAAATTTTCGGAGTGCGTGGCTGACGCTACGCACCTTCATCGAAAAAAAATTTTTTTTGTCGCCCCCCCCCCCCCCACAAGCCGAAATCCTGGGTCGCTACTGTCGGCTAGGTATTTGATCATACAGTTCCCAATATGTATAAAAGATAAAATCTTTTTGTATGTTATGTTCCGTATGTTTTGCAATGATTGAGAAAGAACTCAACCTCTAACGCGAACGAGTATTCCGACGCTGCGTTGCGGTGCACCGAGGAAACATGCATCTAACACAGACAGATACACCTTGCAAGTGCAATGTGGAAATGGCGAGGGACGCCGTAGGTTTGTTCACGAGGTTTATTGGAAGCAGAAAGAGGGTAAGAGGGCGCATTCGAGGCCTTAGAAGTCGCATTTTACGCGAGGCCTGACATTTGCTTCAATTGAAGGGGTGTGGCATACTAAACCGTCATATGGTAAGCCGATTTTGTTCCGGACTCTGCCTTTGACCCTAACGGTGCCTCAGCTTGACCCCTTTGATCAGGTCCACATCATTAGCTAAAAGCAGTGTGTGAGTGTACTTCCTTGATAATACGTAAAACTAGCGAAGCTACATATGCCGCCTCTGGAAGTTGAACTGCACAGTCGATATAAGAAAGATCAAAGTTACTCATAAAAGCCAGCGCATTACAATACCGCTCGGAATGTGCAAAATTTCCGCAATGTCGCGGAAGTCCGGAAATGTTGTGGACTTTCGCGGATTTCCCGGAATTCCGCGACATTCACGGAAATTTCGCACATTCTGTGAGCGGTATTGTACTGCAACCCAAAAGATTGGTGATAGCTTTCACTATGTTCAATTTTATTAAAATTACAGGATGGGGTACTGTACAATAAAGTTATACGCACTGACAAGCGTAATATCAATGAAAATAAAAAGAAAACATCCGCGAGCTTTGAGCTTTTTCTTTTATGATTTCTAACTATTGAAAAAAAAGAACGGAAATGTAGATACAAATGAATCCCTCATGCAGAAAGACTATTTTTTGACAAGGTGGAGGTTCTAAGATATTCGAACAGAAATCGATTTTTGAGTAGTTGGACACTTGATTTTGTCACAAACTTCCAGAAGAACATTTGTACGATTACTTTCACCACCACCTTGTAGAGCTTGCTTTGCTTTCCATCTGTTATAGGCTTTATGGACTTTTTATATACTCTGCAGTTAGCGTGAAGAGCATGCATTGACCCTGCATAAGCCTAGTATGATGCTATATTTGCACACTTTGAAATAAGTTCTAGAAATATAGTCCAATTAGATTTAACTGTTCTTATTGTGCATCGTATCATATCCCCTACGCTTACCGCTATGAGCTATTTATGCAAATCAGTAAATTCTCGTATTAATATCTGCTAAAATTCATCCATGCTTGTAGAATTCCTACTATAGTAGAAAGGACTTGCAAGTCATGCATTAATCAAGTATAACGATCCATTATATTTTGTTTGCTCAAACACGGGTGTAAGAGGAGAAAGAACCAGCGCAATTTGTGTGCATGCGCGCACGCATTGATGGATATATAGATCGACAGAAGGATTGACAGCTTAGTCAATTCATGAATCGCTGCATTATGTACCACAAAAAAGTCCACCGCTTTTATTCCACTTATGATAATATTTGTTCGCGCATCGCCGCTGCGCAAAGGCTAGCGCAGGCCATCACAGAACGTGTCGTGATAAACTTGCAAATGATGCTTCCCTTTCAAGTCATTTTTTAGTCGACTAAATAAACATTCGTATCCCTGAGCCTTCTCGCTATCATATCCTCACATACTCCAAGGTATCGTATCACTGTATTAGGAGCTTCCCGCAGAGAACAACACATTCGCGACAAAATGAACAAATAAAATTGTGAGGTGTTGAGCTGCCGCGCGTTGCGTCTTTGCCAATATGACATCAGTGAAGATTTTCTTTTTTCATCCACACTTATTGAAGCCTTTTTTGTAAAGACAAAGACAAATAGCCAAAGATTGCTCTAATCAGTTATGTAGCAATACTCTTGTATCAGTTGATGCAGAGGCCAAGATTGGTAGATCGCTTTATTGGCTTACGTACTTTCGGCGTCTCCGCCTTCTTCAAAGTCTGGAAACAACGAGAATATTCACAATCTATCCTCCCAAACGCTTCCTTCTTACCACATCGGTACGATTCAACAGACAACAGAGCCAAAACTAACGACAAAACGCTGATAGAATTAGCGCTCACTTTACAGCCTTACGAATGAGAGGAAGTGACCGCCGAGCGAAGCTGCGCCGCTACTGATGAGGTTACTGTTATGCTAATCACTGTATAATAGCTGTCTATTTTAGCACATCGTTCGCGATTTCCCCAGTGTTGGAGAAGACAAGAAGCGACTTTTGGGAAAAAATTTCTAAGAGAAAATTTACAGATTGAGGAATTCGAAGAAACATCAAAGCGACTATATGGCCATTTTTGAAATCATGTCCATAACTTCAAAAGACATTTCAATTTAGTATGAAACTCAACTCCAAACGAATTGCTCTCAATTTGGTTAGTGTAGCATGAAACGCGAAGGAACTGGTTCAAATGTAGATCGTTTTTTCCAAAAAGTGTGAAAAGATTGTTCATCAGTTTCATACCTCCACAGTATAGTTCCTGGTGCTGTTGTGCTAGATCTATGTTCAAATGTCGTACGGTTGCTTAGTAAATTCTACCTAAATTTGCTGCGCTGTTATGCAACGGAGAGCTGCACAGTGATAAACAAGGTTTAATGCTAACAATGCCATCACATGATAGCAATCATGCAAAAAGATGTGACTATTCCTATAGAGATCAAGGGTGTGATGAAGGTTTTGGTTGAGACTCCGCTAATGCAGAAATTCCGTTCGCATCAAGTCGGTAAAGCAGCCATCCTTCCATTTTCGTCAAATTCTCGCAAGGCATTTTCTCGTAGAAAGTTATAGCGTTTGTATTCCAGTCGAGTACATTCCATTGGAGCCTAAGAAACGTAGCATTGATCATCAATGAGTGACCAAACTGTACTACACAGAGTTTTGCTTGGGACATTGGCTCAATAATTGCCCGCTTGGATACCTGGCCCATCAGGGTTTGCGATAGTAGCGAAGATCCACATTTCTTGTTTGCCTAATATTTTAGACACTATAGCTGCATGTGCACTTTAACGCTGAAAGAGGCCGCAGTTCGGCGAAAGCGAAGAACACAGGGGAAAAAATTAAAAGCTTGACTTTTTATGCTAGTTTTAGAAGCTTAGCGGCTGCCGCGGGGACGCCAGGCCCCGCGTATAATCTTGATTAGGGACATTCTATTCCGCTGCATCGGGATGCACTGTTCTGCCGAGCTACTGCCTAAAAACGAATAACGCTAATAGAACGCAGATTTTAGTTGTGCAAGTGTATATTTAATGTAATGATAGGTTTGCTTGATGTGAAAATTGAAGACTATATAGACTAATGTCATTTGACCAATAGTACGATACTGTCGTGTAACTGTTTGACGGAAGAAAATGGACTGGCAGATGTCAACTGACCTTGTAAGTCCCAACTCTTTAGCTAAGATGCCAAGTTCTCTCCATAACATTTGCCCGTAGCCTTTTCGACGGAATGCTGGTCGTACATACAAGTCTTCCATATGGATGTATTGTCCTTCCCAAGTTGAGTACGCGAAGTAAAACAACAACATTGCTGCTGGTTCGTCGTCTTCACGCAGTATAAAGCCACCTACTGAATTCTTGTCAATATCGGCAGCTAGGCGAGTATCATCTATCTAAAAGAAACGACTCTACGTTAGTGACAAACTTTAAAACCTTGCGTATAGTAAAAACCCTACGTTGACCGCTGTCGCCATCTTCTCAAACTCTGCCAACTCCTTGATCATAGACATTAAGGTCGATGCATCCGCAGATGTGGCTCGGCTGATAGAAACTGCCATGCCCTGACAGTAATTGCAGTCGCACTCATCACATATAAAGCAAGAAAATGCCTGGCGAATCATATTTCTGCTCAGAATTAGCGTCCTGTGATTTGGATTGTGAATCGATGTAATTTGAGACGGTAAATAGGAAAGAAACATAGAATTCTTTCTTCAGTGACATATCTCTGCAAACAATAGCTCTCCTTGTATTGAGCATTTGCTTTATGAGTCCGCACAGCTGACGAAGATAGTACTAGTCGAAGCGGCCATTCAGAATGAAATGTACATGGCCTATATAGTGTCGAATAGTCTCGAATTTGACATTGTGCCTGACCGTGAGCCAGCTGTAATGTCAGTAGCAGAAGGCAAAACAGGAGCCGATGAAAGAATTCAAATCTTGAACTCTCTGTAACAGCGAACACCCAAACATTGCTTTTGCTGCATGTGCTTATATAGAAACATCGTCAAATTTGCAACTTCTTTCGTGATGGCAAAGAAGACAGATTTTAAGTCAGCATTTATCACTGACTTCAGCAATATACAGCTTAACACGACTGGACACCTGAACCAAGGTAGGTCCGCACCGCATGCATTCTCGGTGGGTGGAGGAACGCATCTCGATGTATTATATCTCAACATTCTATTCTGGATCCCTCACTTTCTATTCATCGTTCAAAGAATTCACTACCTCAGTATCTCAACTCAACGAATACCCCTTGTCATGAAATTTAGATTTTTCTTCCTTCTGAACCTGTAAGGAATCAATAAATTATTTTTTTTGAAGGGGGACGAGTAGCGTAGTGGTATGAGGCACCGCTATGACCAGATCGAACACAGGTTCGATCCGCCCTTGAGCTAACGAAGCCCTCTATCCTCCGGGGTCAGTAAATTGGAACCAGAGTAATCTGGGAGGAAAAAAGCACTGACTTGGCAATCCGCTGGCCCCCGCAAGTTATTTTAATAAGGCTGCACGCATTCACTAGCTTCTTCGGCTGTGAAGTCGAGTGCGTTCGGCGCATACCCGCGGAGCAGTGGCGTACCCAGGATTTCGGCTCGGGGGGGGGGGGGGGCGCGGAAAAAAAAATTTTCAAATGAAGGTGCGTGGCGTCAGCCACGCACACCGAAAAATTTTTAGGGGGGCTCAACAATTTTGTGGGCCCTCAACCCCTAAAATCTGGAAAAAGGGGGCGTGGCGTCAGCCACGCCCCCGAAAAAAAAATTTTTATAAGGCTAATTTGAATTTTAAAAAATTTTAAAAATTATTTCAATTGTTTACAAAAATGCGGAGTGTATTGAAAAGCAGAAACTTTCATCCTTTGTCTTTTCCAAAGTCATTTTTCTCTTACTGTACAGAAAGAGACAGCTACCACAACGATCGGGAGACGGCCCTTCTGAACCCACCGTCTACTACAGTAACCCCGCAAGTAGGACGCGGGCGCCTCAGACACTCGCGGTTGAGTCGCGCAGGGCAAAACGAGGTGTCGTCAACGAATGCCTGGGCGACTCGCGAAATCGGTGTCGCGGCAAAATCAGGACACCTGATTTTGTGTCGCGGCAAAAGTGCGCGACAAAATCGGGGCAAAATCGGGACACCTGCGCGAGACACCAAAATGTCCCGATCGCGTTCAGAGCACGCGGCCTACGCCCTTACTGACAGCTTTTTGCGTCCTCTAAGCCTTCTCTCACGTCTTCCTTTTGACTTACCTAACATCCTTGATCTCTTCGGGTCCCACTTCTTATGCTTGTAATTTCTGCTAATAAAACACAGTCTTAGTCGCGAAATTTACTAACAAATACACAAGATCTTCTCGAGCAGGTTTTACATTAACATCGAATTGAGACACACAGACAGACAGCAAGTATGAAATTCGAAGCACCACAATAACGAAACAAGATTACTTTGACAAACCACAATTGTCCAGCTATCTTTGAAATCTACGACTCTCAAAGTCGAGAGCTACGCCACTTACCAAAGGGTCATCAATACACATTTGCTTTGTAAGCGCAGCCTTGGAACATTTGCGTCTGGAATCATATATTTGTGGAAGCACAGTCACAATGTAACAACTTGCAAAAGTTTCACTTGTAGATTATGAAAAGAGATGTTTCGCTAGAATATGCAAACATGGTCATTTGCTACGAAGCTAAAAAGTCAGCAACCAGCCAATATGACAAGAGTCATCCCTGGACAGTACAAAATAACAATTCAAAGAGTTTCAAATCAAAAGGAAGGGAAAAAGCAACAAATGCTGGGAAGAAGTGACCTATAAGTGCATTATTTCGAAATCTCCTCGCCCGTAGCGACAAAATCGCACCAAAATCGGGACGAAACCAAAATGATGACTCGCGCCGGTCCATCGGATTTTGGTGCGAACGCCCATTTTGTGGGCGGATCCCCTGCGCGACTCAACCGCGAGTGTCTGAGTTGTTTTCGAAAGTCTTCAGCGCACCTCGAGGTTTCCCTTTCCAGCCTTCAGATCTGAACGCAGTAGTAATTCCCACCTTATCCAGTCCCATTTCGTAATGCTGCTATTCGCTCCATTTTGCTATGCTACGGCCTAACTTTATCCTGATCGTATTAACTAGGTTTGTTTTTAGAAACTTGTTTTGAATGTCTTGAGTAATAATATGAATGGTTTCTCATCTCATTTTGATTACTTTTTGCCACATTTTGTTTGTGTGCATCCTTTCTGCTTCGTTGTTACACGTTTGAACGTTGTCAACTGCATGATGCATCGAGAGGTAAGCACACGCGACCCGACTCACAATTTAAAGTACAACAGATGGTTTTCTTTGAACTCTGCACGATACCTAATGATTTGTAGTTTTGCTCTAAACGACTTTCGCTTAACACCAAAGATTTATTTGGTAGCATCTAGTTTTTTGCACAAACGCTGCTCTTTTCTCGCTAATTTTTGGGGTTGTGGTTGTGCAAGGAATTTTAAATGTTCATAGGTCACCGCTTGTAGATCAATTTCTGAGCTAGGCTCTAGAACTTCTCAGCTCTCTACAGTCATGAAATAGTGCTATCCGCTACTTTCCTTGTTTAAACCTAGATTCAAAATTGATAAGTATTTGTATGGTTTACACGAATATAATCATGCAGCCGCTATAATGGGGGCAGAATCAAAGTGTTGGCGACAAACTTCATTAACAAGAATCTTGGGTCTCGGGTTATCAGCAAGAATCAAACGAAAAAGTGTGTTTTCACTGCAGGCTTCGTTTAGTTCACATACACAAATGAATGTGACGATACACGAAGCAGCAAGGATTGCACACTTGGTGCAAAAAGAGTTACCAGCACTCACCTTACTCAACCAAAAATAGAGTATTTCAGTAGTCGAAGCAAACACATCCCACAGATTTGATTGGAAGCACTCAGTTTAGAAAATAGCAGCGAGTTTGTTAGGTAAGACAGCAGAATAGCAACATTCGGTTGAATCATGCGTCTACGACATCTCCATCAAGGGTCCGAGGAAGGGAGGTCATTACTGAGGAACTCGTCAGGTCAACCGCTCGCCTTATCGAAGCAGCGAATTAAGACGTGACCTCTGAGACGCGCTGACCTATCGCAGCCATCGCGATTAGAGCGGGTTCAGAAGGGCCTACACCCCAACGATCTAGTTCAGCATGGTACGGTAATCCAAAGTCCAGCCGCCTTTTTTCTCAGGCGCGCCCTTGATAGAGAGTGTTTTCAACCCGCGCTTACACCAATTGCAAAGAAAGGGATACAATGAAAAAGGCAAATAAAATGGAAGGATAATTATGACTTGCTTGTCTAAGTTTCAAACTTAGGTACTTTGAAAATAGATAGATGACATCAAAACTGAGCTAGAAATATATCCCTCGAATTCCAGATAAGAAATTTGCAGTTTCAATCTATCGTTGTCCGGCTGCAAAAAGCCCATAAGGAGGCAACATGAGAACGCCCGAAGCATGATTCCAGCGGGTTCATGGGTCCAGCGCGAAATTGATGGGTTGCGCCATGAATTCTTGCGAGATACAATTTTGGGGTCCAGTTTCGAGGCGAAATCTCAGCCGTTAGAGCACTACCTGAGCTGCCGGTTGGGCAGTGGCTTAGTGAGGGTCCCGAAATTACTATCCACGTGAGAGCCCCATATGTCCAGATTTGCCTGGACGCTGCCAAGCTGGTCTAATTCGAGTTCTACCTGGTAAAAAAACAAAAATAAAGCCGTATGTAAGCTCACATTCAAAATTGTACATAAATCATTTGCGGTTTCTCTAGCAACACCATTTTCTATTTGGCTTTGATCCGGACCCATTATCCAATACGTGCTTCAGCCTCGAAATTTTTTTCATAACTGTGAGGACTGTCTTTCCGCCACGTATCGAAATAAATCAATACGTTTGAGGCGGTATGACATGTTTTTCAAATTCATTTTAGCGAGGAACGAGACCATTCGAAATAACTCGAAAGCTTTTCAAGGGTCTTTTATGAATGACATTTTGATAGTTTACTTCATCTTGGTAGCTTTCAGCAATGATTCAAAGAAATCCTGCTCTTCACATTGTTTCCGCCCGGCAAAGAATATGAATGATGGCTTGAAGTACTTAGCTCCCGATTGTTTCGTCGTTGATGATAGAACGATAGCCCACTTCTCTGTTTTGGGAGAAAATGTATTTACCAAACACAAAATATTATTTTCTTTATTAATGCATGAAACTGTTGACTAGAAATGTGTTCATTATTGAATAAAAACAGATTGAACTTTGATGAATGGGCTAAGCAAACTCTTGGTAAAACCTGTTGAACATGTAGATGACATGTCAATTTTTTTGACATGCAGCAGGAGGTTGACTCTCCACCCTATAAAATTTTTACCTAAATATACCAGAAAAGAAGCAATATCCTTTCTCAAAAGATGGGTCCGGATAACTTGAGGTACCAATTTTTGTTTTGACCCAATAAAATGACCGATTCTCGGAAATACGAGAGTCTCTTTTTTCAACAAAAGCCAAAGCTTATGCATGCTCATATTGGATCGGTTCAAAAAATCGTGCCCCTTTTCAGACCTTTCCTCTGACCCTTTAGAGCAATATTAGGCAAAGGCTCTAAGCAGTGTTTGATGAAAAAAAAAACTCCCCTTCTCTCTCTTTCTCAAGCAATTATGTTTTTCTGAGGTCTTTGGCGGCCACTCGAATAATTGTTAGAATCTCCAACCCGCAATTTTAAACCCTAAATTTAGCTTTTTTTGTAATGACCGCTAGATAGAGTAAATGAAATGCAACACGATGAACTCCTTAGACATCACTAGGTATTTATTATTAGGTTGTAAAGAAAGTTCCCGGGCACTTTTGGAAATTTCATTTTCAAACGCATTTTTTCAGCGCTCGGTCGGACTTTATCATCAAGGTTTTCATACTGTTCAGTAGAGGGAAGCCTGAAGTTTTCAATACGGCTTCCGATTCTTATCGATGCCAAGACTTGTTTGATCTGCACATCAAGAAGGGAAGTCCTTCCAACCACAAAAATTTCACAATTTTTCTTCCTACGACCATTTTTTTGTGCAGTTCAAAGAATTTCGTTCAAATCATGGTCGATCTGATTGAGAAGCCTGTTGACTACTGACCCGCAGTTGCACTCGAGTTCTGCGATTTGCGTTTAGAAATCACAAGCTCTTGAACTTGCACCTGACTGCAACCCTTTTCGCAGCTGGCGTCGCATCTGAGGGGATCACCACGCCTGGATGATGGGTCCAAAAGATATGTAAGGCATTATCCCAACATTGTTCGCAGCAATCAAAGATTTGGTCCAACCTATGCAGAACGACAAAACTGTAAAGTCACTTACTCGAAAAATGGTGCATTTTAAGGGGCAAAAAATGATCGATTTTTCAAACTTTCTGGAAAAAAATTTTTTGCAGGTGGTTTTTCAAAAACTTGAATGGCCTCCATAACAGCTCCAGCAAACTTCTATATAACTACAGCATTTGAGCCCTCCAGCTTTCATCGGGCCTGAGATAATCCTGCACAAACAGGCCACTTTTCGCGTCGACCTTTTTCCCTTCTGCGCATGCTGGTGGACCGCAGTAAGGTGCTGAAAAGCCAGCAAGACAAATATATGTTGCGGACAAAATTGTCTTTGCAACGAAGTTTGTAGCTTTGAAAAAGATTTAATCTGCTCGAAGCTATAGCGATTTGAAAAAATTTTTCGCAAGTGCCCGGGAACTTTCTTTACAACCTAATATTTTGCAAGATGATTTTTCCAATCATTTTTGCAGAGGCGTATAATATGCAAACGCTTCAAACACAATAAGCGGATTTTGGAGATAAATCGATTGGTATGATTGATTTTGTGAAGCAACTAAGCGTCCGCTTCTAAATACCAAAATTCGCAATTTCGGGCAACAGCCAGAGGCGCTCTCGAAGCCAAAATTTCAATAATTTTCTAATCGAAGATTCACAAACTGGGAAGAAAAAAACAACTTTCTGAAAGAGGAGAAAATTCTGCATCGAATGAGGTTTTAGTGGCGAGCGTTTCATGTTCTATAAGGTTTGTCCCGATCAAACACTGAATTTGAGAGCTTCAAAAAATAATTTTGGAAATTCAAAAAAGCCAGCTGTAGACACCAAAGAATGCCTTACACAGTACTCTGACCAACTACCATTACAGCTCTAATAAAGACTAGCTAAAATAAGGGTATATAGAAGCCACTGGAGTTCTGATGATTGTTCTCAAAGATCTCAGGGCAAAACAACACAGCTGAAAAGAAAAAAGACATCTGCATCGCACAGTTTAGAGCATCTGCCTAACACTACAATAAATAATCTGAGGGTAGTTCTGGAAAACGGCACAAACTTCCGGACCGACCTGATAAACAGGGTCAAGCGTGGGGTGGCACGCCACACCTAGAGGTCGCAAAGGAGTTAGGGAAGGGGGGTCATTATCGAGGTGATGGTGATGTTAGCGAAATGATGTCAGACAACAATGCCTGATAGGCACATTGTACAAGATACCAGCACTGCATAA